ATAACAATTTGGGGATGAGGTGGTTGAGTGGGCTAATTTCAGAAGGGCTGTGTACAGGTGCAGTGATCGGTAAGGTGCTCTGACAACTGATGCTTAAAGTTAGTGAGGGAGATAAGAGTCTCCAGCTTCAGAGATTTTTGCAGTTCATTCCAGTCACTGGCAGCAGAGAACTGGAAAGAATGGCGGCCAAAGGAGGTGTTGGCTTTGGGGATGACCAGTGAGATATACCTGCTGGAGCGCATACTACGGGTGGGTGTTGCTATGGTGACCAATGAGCTAAGATAAGGCTGAGATTTGCCTAGCAGTGATTTATAGATGGCCTGGAGCCAGTGGGTTTGGCGACGAATATGTAGTGAGGACCAGCCTACAAAAGCGTACAGGTCACAGTGGAGGGTAGTATATGGGGCTTTGGTGACAAAACGGATGGCACTGTGATAGACTACATCCAATTTGCTGAGTAGAGTGTTGGAGGCTATTTTGTAAATGACATCGCCGAAGTCAAGGATCGGTAGGATAGTCAGTTTTACGAGGGCATGTTTGGCAGCATGAGTGAAGGAGGCTTTGTTGTGAAATAGGTAGCCGATTCTAGATTTAACTTTGGATTGGAGATGCTTAATGTGAGTCTGGAAGGAGTTTTTACAGTCTAACCAGACACCTAGGTATTTGTAGTTGTCCACATACTCTAGGTCAGACCTGTCGAGAGTAGTGATTCTAGTCGGGTGGGCGGGTGCCAGCAGCGTTCGATTGAAGAGCATGCATTTAGTTTTACTAGTGTTTAAGAGCAGTTGGAGGCTACGGAAGGAGTGTTGTATGGCACTGAAGCTCGTTTGGAGGTTTGTTAACACAGTGTCCAATGAAGGGCCAGAGGTATACAAAATGGTGTCGTCTGCGTAGAGGTGGATCTGAGAGTCACCAGCAGCAAGAGCGACATCATTGATATACACAGAGAAAAGAATCGGCCCAAGAATTGAACCCTGTGGCAACCCCATAGAGACTGCCATAGGTCCAGACAACAGGCCCTCTGATTTGACACATTAAACTCTAAAACCTCTGACAGGTATCACACCTGTCAGAAGGAGTAATACTAATAGTTTTGCTGGAGAGGAAGTGAAGTGTACATTTTTTTAGCTCTGTCTTGATACCCAATATCAATGTTTGTTTGTGATACATGAGCCTACCCCTGTGTTTCACAATTCCCCAAATGAACCCTCAGCATGCTGGGTCACTGTTTCCACAAACAATAATAAGACTTTCTTCAGGGGAGACCAGGGAAAAGCCTAACATCCCAGGCCAACAGTGTGGACCAGATAAGCATTGTGGGAGTGTTATTAGCCTAGTACTTGAAGGTAGCAGTGGTGATGAGGTTCCTGTTGTCATGCGCATCTGAATAGTTATGGTCCCTCGTAAGTTTGATAAACCTGGTTCCTTATTAGTATTCATTGAAACAGAGAGAGAGGTCATAACTAGGGGGATTGTTCTTCCATCCTGACTATCTGAGCAGAGATACAGAGATGTGGAGACTCGGGATCAATGGGATCTGCCCACACTCCGTAAGCCAGGGGTAAGAGAGGTTACTGTGGGCCTGAATAATGCCATGAGGCCAATGACTGGATGTGTTCATAAAAGAGACCACAATTCCTCAGTTAACCCACAGCCTAGGGGCCTGGACAAATGCATGTCACTACAGGACAACAGGACCGTTGGTTACCTGGCACAATACAACACCCCTAACTAGTTGAAAATGATACACCGTCAACCTGTCATCTTTGTCAATAGTCACACGCATCTCCAACGTTATCCTTTCACAGTCTGTTTGGTGATACAAAATGGTGACGCAGTTGAAGAATGAGAGAGAACATTTAGTAATGTGTCTGCAGGTTAGTGAAATCCCTCAAGTGCGTCTTTGGCTCTGCAGGTTCCTACTGTATTATCACTTATTCATCAAGTCCAAAAAGAGGCGTTCACACATTCCCTACCCACAGGACTAGTAGACAGCTGCTCCCATTTAACCAACAAAGACGCCGAGGTCCCAGAACCCAGGCGCATGAAAATACTGTGATGCTGGGATTCTGATGATATAACCCAGAGCCGTGTTAGAGAGAGGGACTGTGGATGATGCTCTATAGTGTGTTATTCAGACAGCCACTAACTTGTATGTCTATGATTTAGGCCTATTTTTGGTTGGACTCTGGCCAGCCACCACCAATGGGGGTATTCCTAACAAACCAAATACAGATGGTGAGCTGAGAGGGGGAAGGGATAAAAGTGGAACAATGTAATGTCTGTGGTAAACGTTTTAAAGTCTATTATACATAATTTATAACATACTTCTGTCTATTCACGCTACGCTGCTATAGTATCACATCTGTATAACCAGTTAATGACCAAGGAGAAACTATAGTGAGCCTTATAGTATAAAGTCAATAAGTAGGAGGTGACATGGAGTGCTTACTCAGCAGCCTACAGCCTTTGTTCCTGTGCTTGTAAATGTCACTGGGTGGTGTTCCTGCTGTGTCCACGACCTGTGCTGCCTGGCTGCACGCCCTCTGACCTTTCAGAGCAACGCCTCTCTCCTTCTCCTCTCTCTGTCCCTGTGTAGAGGAGAGACTCAATCAGAACCATTAAACACTACATTATATACACTCGCTCATGTATTCACTCATGTCACTGTCACGTGTCCCTTCCAAGCCATAGTGTTATCCCTCAAAGCCTTTTTTACCCATACTCAAGGGTCATGCTAGGTTTTTTGTTCCATTGTGTCAGGAAAATGCACTGTCAATCATGACCCAAAAGATTGGTCTGTTTATTAAGGTATGTCCACGAGTGAGTGCCCTTGGAGCGCTGCCTGTCCTTGCTGAAGGGATGAACAGATGGTATTCCAGGGAGTGACAGTTATCCAAGTGTTGATGTAAAGCCCTTCCCTGACCTCCACCCACTAACCATCATAAGATTCCATGACATGTCAGTTCAGTTCAGGGAATCATATGTTAAAATGAAAGCCCCACCGCCGTAAACATATTAAAGTGTCATGGTCTTATCTGGTTTCCATGAAGGCATAAAAGGCATTCTAATTCCTAGTGTGTGTGCGTGCACGCTTACATGCATGTGTGTGTGTGTGTTCCTATTGCCCTTGGAGTGTTAACCCCCTCCACCCCACAGTGCTTATTCACCACGGCAATCAATTCAAAATCTATTTCCCATCCCCAGGACAACACCTACGCAGCTCTGTACACAGAGCACATATATACAGTACATCTGATGGACAGAATAGCATGGAGCAGAGCTTGGCTGAGGAGGGCTGAGCAGAGGGCTGAGCAGAGGGCTGAGGAGAGGGAGAGAATGGGCTGATAAAAGGGAAAGAAGAGGGCTGAGGAGAGGGAGAGAAGGGGCTGAGGAGAGGGCAGAGGAGAGGGAGAGAATGGGCTGATGAGAGGGAGAGGAGGGCTGAGGAGAGGGAGAGAATGAGCTGAGGAGAGGGCAGAGGAGAGGGAGAGAAGGGGCTGAGGAGAGGGCAGAGGAGAGGGAGAGAAGGGGCTGAGGAGAGGGCAGAGGAGAGGGAGAGAAGGGGCTGAGGAGAGGGTAGAGGAGAGGGAGAGAAGGGGCTGAGGAGAGGGCAGAGGAGAGGGAGAGAAGGAACTGAGGATGGCAGAGGAGAGGGAGAGAAGGGGCTGGGGAGGGCTGAGGAGAGGGAGAGAAGGGGCTGAGGAGGGCAGAGAAGAGGGAGAGAAGGAGCTGAGGAGGGCAGAGAAGAGGGAGAGAAGGGACTGATGAGAGGGAGAGGAGGGCTGAGGAGAGGGAGAGAAGGGGCTGAGGAGAGGGAGAGAAGGAGCTGAGGAGGGCAGAGGAGAGGGAGAGAAGGAGTTGAGGAGGGCAGAGGAGAGGGAGAGAAGGAGCTGAGGAGGGCAGAGGAGAGGGAGAGAAGGAGCTGAGGAGGGCAGAGGAGAGGGAGAGAAGGAGCTGAGGAGGGCAGAGGAGAGGGAGAGAAGGAGCTGAGGAGGACAGAGGAGAGGGAGAGAAGGAGCTGAGGAGGGCAGAGGAGAGGGAGAGAAGGGGCTGAGGAGGGCAGAGGAGAGGGAGTGGGTTGATTTGATACTCCAAACGCACTGAAAATCACCCGTGGTGATGTTGGGGGAGACAGTATTAGAGCTGTGAGGGATCCGTCTTAAAATATATTTCTGGAACAGTCAGGGAGAGGAGAGGAGAGAGAGAGGAGAGAGAGAGGAGAGAGAGGCAATGGAGGGAGATTTATGCCCCGGCGTTGCACTGCACTGGGGTTTTTAGTCAGATGCCTTTGTTTGCCGCTGTTGGCTTGAGCCGTGCTCTGGGGAAGGCTGATAAGAGAATTACAACACTGCTTCCATTACGCTGATACTGATGATGTCAACACATGCCTAGGACTGTGTTCAATCTGTGCATATACTTTGGGTGGGCTTTTGTTCCAGAGCAAACTGTGTCCTACAGTATACTGTGTTATGGTGCACTGTACGGTAGGCTAGAGCTAAGCTACGGCATATGCAAAATACTTTTTTTGCAGCCATTGCAATAAAGTTCATGGAGTATTCCTTGTGGCTAGATGACAACGGCTATATCAGGTTTACTGTGCTCTAGAAATGGAGCTCAGATAATCTTCTGGAAAGTATGTAATTACATAATATATACATCCTTATCTCAACACTGTACTATTCAGAACACCCCATACATCTAACGCTGTTCCACCTGCTAGTATATATCTGACCCCATGCAGTGCATTGCATGAGCAGGCAACTGACCCCACTCCTATAGGTCACCACCGGGTTACCAGTTGTTTCTGCCGCTAGAGGTTGGGGTCAATTTGCGTGAAATGACACTGCATTTCTGTCACATCACCACCATCACCCTCACAACAAATGACTCCACAGCCGCTCTGGATTACATTTTCAAACCTCCTGTGTCAGGGAACTAGCTATTCTGGCCCCAGGGAATGTGATCTATAGGCATTTGGTGTACAGAAATCACAGAAGATGACAGGCTGCCATTTACCTCTAGTGATGAAGTCTTCAACAGGCCTGGCTGTCCACACTGAGGTGAGTTATGACCCCTTTAGACCTGCTTTAACTGGTTTCCTGGAGGATTTGGGCCTGTCTTGTGGAGAACTATCCTTAGAGCAGCTCTACCTCTCAATGTGACCTGTTATGCTGTATCTAACAAGCCAAATTGTTACACATAAGTAAACATTTTAACAATACCCAATTGTTATCAATCAATTGTATTGGTTTTATGCTTTATTGATGATGTTGTGGATAGCTCAATAGATAGACTAATAGTACGGATTACAATTATACTAACATGGCAATTTTTTATGTCTGATTCAAACATCACATTTTTTAAAGAAGAAATTGTCTTGAAGCCAAATTTGGGAACCTGGAATTTAGTCTTGAGGGAAATAAGTCACTCAGTGACACAGAACAAGAATATCTCAGGTCCACTCTACCTCATTTCTTTCCTCTCTCTCACTTTACCTCTCTCCCTCCCATGCCGCTCTCCTCTCCATCTCTCAAACACTCTCTCTGTCTTCGAGCTCCTAATAGCTATTTTATTACCTCACCTACTCAGTTACCTAAGTACAGTGCATTGGGAAAGTATTCAGACCCCTGGACTTTTTCCACATTTTGTTACGTTAAAGCCTTATTCTAAAATGGATTAAATTGTTTTTTCCCCTCATCAATCTACACACAATACCCCATAATGACAAAGCAAAAACAGGTTTTTAGACATTGTTGCAAATGTATAAAAAAAAAAAAAACGGAAATATCACATTTACATAAATATTCAGACCCTTTACTCAGTACTTTGTTGAAGCACCTTTGGCAGCGATTACAGCCTTGAGTCTTCTTGGGTATGACGCTACAAGCTTGGCACACCTGTATTTGGGGACTTTCTCCCATTCTTCTCTGCACAACTCAAGCTCTGTCATGTTGGATGGGGAGCGTCGCTGCACAGCTTTTTTCATGTCTCTCCAGAGATGTTCTATCGGGTTCAAGTCCGGGCTCTGGCTGGGCCACTCAAGGACATTCAGAGACTTGTCCCAAAGACACTCCTGCATTGTCTTGATTGTGTGATTAGGGTCGTTGTCCTGTTGGAAAGTGAACCTTTGCCCCAGTCTGAGGTCCTGAGCGCTCTGGAGCAGGTTTTCATCAAGGATCTCTCTTTACTTTGCTCCATTCATCTTTCCCTCGATCCTGACTAGTCTCCCAGTCCCTGCCGCTGAAAAACATCCCCACAGCATGATGCTGCCACCACCATGCTTCGCCGTAGGGATGGTGCCAGCTTTCCTCCAGACGTGATGCTTGGTATTCAGGCCAAAGACTTCAATCTTGGTTTCATCAGACCAGAGAATCTTGTTTCTCATGGTCTGAGAGTCCTTTATGTGCCTTTTGGCAAACTCCAAGTGGGCTGTCATGTGCCTTTTACTGAGGAGTGGCTTTCGTCTGGCCACTCTACCATAAAGGCCTGATTGGTGGAGTGCTGCAGAGATGATTGTCCTTCTGGAATGTTCTCACATCTCCACAGAGGAACTCTGGAGCTCTGTCAGATTGACCATCGGGTTCTTGGTCACCTCCCTGACCAAGGCCCTTCTCCCCCGATTGCTCAGTTTGGCCGAGGGGCCAGTTCTAGTCTTGGTGGTTCCAAACTTCTTCCATTTTAGAATGATGGAGGCCACTGTGTTCTTGGGAACCTTCAATGCTGCAGAAATGTTTTGGTACCCTTCCCCAGATCTTTGCCTCGACACAATCCTGTCTCGGAGCTGTACGGACAATTCCTTCAATCTCATGAGTTGGTTTTTGCTCTGACATGCACTGTCAACTCTGGGACCTTATATAGACAGGTATGTGCCTTTCCAAATTATGTCCAATCAATTTAATTGATTGGTCCTCTGTAGCTCAGCTGGTAGAGCACGGCACTTGTAATGCCAGGGTAGTGGGTTCGATCCCCGGGACCACCCATACACAAAAATGTATGCACGCATGACTGTAAGTCGCTTTGGATAAAAGTGTCTGCTAAATGGCATATTATTATTATTATTATATTATTATATATTATTATTAATTTACCACAGGTGGACTATAATCAAGTTGTAGAAACATCTCAAGGATGATCAATGGAAACAGGATGCACCTGAGCTCAGTTTCAAGTCTCATAGCAAAGGGTCTGAATACTCATATAAATAAGGTATTTCTGTTTTTTATTTTTTATACATTTGCAAAAATTTCTAGAAACCTGTTTGTGCTTTGTCGTTATGGGATATTGTGTGTAGATTGATGATAATTTTTTTTGTATATATCATTTTTAGAATAAGGCTGTAACGTAACAAAATGTGGGAAAAGGGAAGGGGCCTGAATACTTTCCGAACACACTGTATATATTCCTCAACCATGTTCACGCTATATGTCCTCTCTCTATGCAGGTCCACTCCATTTCTCCCTTGTCTCCCTCTTTCGCTCTTCCATCTCTGCCTCTTGCAGCTTTTAGCCAACTCATGTTTGACATTCAGTGGGCAAATATTGGGCTTTTTAGCTAGTTCTGTCCAGGAGCGATACGAGCTCCAGTTTTAGTTAACGGTGGCTGAACATCCCTGCCCCGAGAGCGCCTGTCAGTCCATCCACATCACGAGTCAGCGCACGGGGAGGAGAGGGAGGGGAGGGTTCTGATATTTCTTAATCTCTTGTTTCTTCCTATCTATTTTTCTAAGGGATTATTTGTGTATTAGTATTATCATTAGATATTAGTATTGTACTATTTACACTTACTTCACTGTTGGAGCTAGAAACAAGCATTTCGCTGCACCTGCTTTAACATCTGCTAATCTGTGTAAATAAATACACTTTGATTTGATTGAGATTTTTGGGGTATGGACAGGAATGGGGTTTTGTGCACTTAATTGTAGGCTGTAATAGTTTAATTCCTGTTTTAACAGTAGGCCTACAATACATCTTGATTTACAATACAATTCACCCACAGCTCTTAAGAATAGAGGTAGTATTCTCTTTCATTGTACCCCCTCCTGACCATACTAATAGCTTTCTTAATGGAGGATCACAGCATTAATTAAGATATTCTTACATTTTAGTCATTTAGCAGACGCTCTTATCCAGAGCGACTTACATTGGTGTATTCATCTTAAGATAGCTAGGTGAGACAACAACATATCACAGTCGTAGTAAGTACATTTTCCCTCGACAAAGTTGTTATCAGCAAAGTCACTGCTAGTAGGAAAAGACAAGTGCATTTTTTTTCTTAATGGAGGATCTCAGCATTAATGAAGACTGTAACCTATCGCATATAGAGAGCCTTTGTACTGGCGGAACGTCCCTCGGAAAACACTTCAACAGGGACTATTCAAGTCAAATGGATTGTGATCACTGTTGTGAGCCAGTTAAAGTGAGTGTTCCCTTTTTCTGTCTTTGGCAAAATATCAAGCAGCTTGTTTAAATGTCAGAGTGTAGGGTTTGGCAGAGACAGGGGTAGGGGTAGGGAGTGGAGAGAGGGGATGTGGCTGTGAAACATTACCCTTTCAGAATCAAGAATGACTGCGGCTAATTAACAGAGCTTATGTCACATTCATGTCAATGACCTTATCCAGGGGGCTGGGGTGACGGGAGGGGACTGAGCCTTGAAGGTTGTACAGGTAAATAGTGTGGTTGTTTATTCATATGCTGTACAGTACGTTCCAAACCCAAGAGTCATATACAACCACAGCCCTGGTGAAGCAGTCATGTATGGTAGCAAGTGGGCAGTACAACCCTGTTACACTCTAAAACTGTGCAGGTGCATGGTTTTAAAAACTTTTGGGGTGACAGAACACTAAATCGCCCCGCAGAAAAGCATCTGTTACTTCCCTTGTAGTTTTAGGGAGGGAAAAACAACTTTGTGGAAGATCGAGGACTTTCACTCCTAAGACCTGAGAAACAAAATAAAGGTTGTTCTCACACTACTTGCTATTCAGGCTGAGTGATTTAGACTTCTATTTTTTGACATTCCTCTCTCAATGTTTTCCTCCCAAAATATTCACTTTCAAACATGAGTGAACATAATTATAGCATCTCCCTCCACACCCGCTCGGCTCTAATCTTCATTTCATCCAGCTCTGTGAGGACTGCAGTCTTCCGTTGACTGACCTTGCGGTGTGTTTCCTCATCTTTTGAAATGCAATTAATTTGCCTCTACCTGAGGAGTGGGAGTGTGTCGTACTGTCGTCTCACTCCAAACACAGCTCCAGTGATTAATACACTACAGTAGCTATCTCCACCAAGCAGTACAGCAGAGCAGAGTACTATCCCTACTCTCCCCACTTAGAGAGCTGCCTTAATACACACTGACAGGCATCACCTCGTCATCTCGACTGTCCTCCAGGGCTGCTTATGTAAGGCCTGTCTGCCTGGCTGAGGAGGAAGGATGGTGATCAGCAGTGGAATCTAAACTAAAAAGGCTGTGTCCTTGGGATTGACTATGTGTTTTATAGCCCCAGGCAGAGCAATGTTAGGGTCAGACATTATTATCCAGAGTTGTCCCTAGAGTTAGTCCTGGCTATTTCCCTCATGGGAATCTCGGTCCTATGCAATTCCCAATGGCAACCAGAAGCCCATCAAATGTCATTCAATGCCACCCCTGTCCAATGTCAACAGTCCTCTTGCCCTTAAATCCATAACTTTGGCACCAACGCAAAGCTCTGATTCCTTCTACACCAGTCAGATAAGGACAGAGAAGTAATGTATAGGTATCATATATAAGGCTATGGTATCAATGGGATTGTAGATGGAGGCAGTACCTCAGAGATGCATATCCCCGCTCAAATTAATAGTCCAACACAGAGAGAGAGGCGAGCGCTGTGGGGAGTTACAGAGATGGCAAGTTACACCCAGCCAGACAAAGTGAGAGATTAGGCAGAGCTTTGCTGCTAAGACCTTTCCGCTGAACAGAGAGTCTGTAGAGGAGCCTTGAGAAGAGCAATTCACTTTCAGCAGTCTCTGCCCTAATCGACACAGACAGAGCAAACAGGGAAGCCATGTTGGATCGTACAGGGCTGCCAGGGCTCTAGGGTTACTTCAGTGAGGCTCCAACCCCTGACTCCTGGCTTCCACAATTCGGCGCCCCTCTCCTGAGTGATATGGCTCGATAGGCAGGTGGACACACTAGACAGACTGCCTACCTCCGGCAGGAACGGTCATTACTACTCCCTCCCTCCTGGTGGTGGTTCTCAGTCACTGATCAGATCCCACTACATCAGCAGAACAGCATGGGTCTTGATTTCCATCAAGAAATAAGTGATATGGATCTTGGAAATGCAACCAAACACAATTCATACTCATTGATGGTGTTCCTTGTAGTTTAGTCGCTTGGCCTTGGTCTCTCTATAACTGTTGTAATAGAACTGCACCCTACAGATCTGTTGACTGTTGTAATAGAACTGCACCCTACAGATCTGTTGACTGTTGTAATAGAACTGCACCCTACAGATCTGTTGACTATTGTAATAGAACTGCACCCTACAGATCTGTTGACTATTGTAATAGAACTGCACCCTACATATCTGTTGACTGATGTAATAGAACTGCACCCTACAGATCTGTTGACTGTTGTAATAGAACTGCACCCTACAGATCTGTTGACTGTTGTAATAGAACTGCACCCTACAGATCTTTTGACTGTTGTAATAGAACTGCACCCTACAGATCTGTTGACGGTTGTAATAGAACTGCACCCTACATATCTGTTGACTGTTGTAATAGAACTGCACCCTACAGATCTGTTGACTGTTGTAATAGAACTGCACCCTACAGATCTGTTGACTGTTGTAATAGAACTGCACCCTACAGATCTGTTGACTATTGTAATAGAACTGCACCATACAGATCTGTTGACTGTTGTAATAGAACTGCACCCTACAGATCTGTTGACTGTTGTAATAGAACTGCACCCTACAGATCTTTTGACTGTTGTAATAGAACTGCACCCTACAGATCTGTTGACGGTTGTAATAGAACTGCACCCTACAGATCTGTTGACTGTTGTAATAGAACTGCACCATACAGATCTTTTGACTGTTGTAATAGAACTGCATCCTACAGATCTGTTGACTGTTGTAATAGAACTGCACCCTACAGATCTGTTGACTATTGTAATAGAACTGCACCCTACAGATCTGTTGACTGTTGTAATGGCGCTAGAAAGCGTCTGCTAAATGGCATATTATTATTATTATTAAGAGAGTGTCAACATTCTGAAAGCATTAGCTAATCCTTTGTTTGTATACGGCTGAATTCCTTGGAAACCATTCGGAGTATATCAACAGTCACCAAGAGACATACTACTCCTAGTGTAGATATAACAGGCTCTGCTGGTCTGGTCTGTGGAGGCACTTCGATCCACAGCCAGCCAGAGGATGTTTTACCACTGCAAAAATAACCCCTCTACAAATTACAATCCTTCCCTGCAGCCAATGGAAAGGCAACAACATGGGCATGTGCGTGTGTGTGGAATCTATATTAGATATAACATCAGTGTGCCACACCACCCCTCCCAAACCAGCATTGCCTTCCCCAAGAGCTACTGTACAATCGATGACACTGAGCAGGCATCAGGTTTTTTTTTTATATGCTGGGCCCGGTCCTGATCCACTATTGTAGCATATAATCTAATTGGAGCTGGCAACCAATTCCCTGCTGTGCTCTGGACGCATGGCAGCCAGGAGTGAGATACACGTCAAGGAACTCAATGGCCTTGGCTTTATAAATCCTACTGCTTTTTTCTCCTCCTCTCCTTCATTGCTGCTGTCCATCTAACACAGCCTTTTTAGGATGTCTCCATACTCAACTAAGCATGCCAAACAGGGCTGTGAGTCAGAGGGCTAGGACAGATGGAGTAGGTCTGTCCACTGTTGAGAATTTACATGATGTACGGTATGTGTTTCCATGTTTTCGTAGTAATGGGTTGATTCAGATGCTGTCTTTGGCAGGAAATGCCTGCTTTCTCACAGTGCTGAGGTGATTACATGGAGAAATGCAGGAGTGCAACCCCAGTGCATGTTGTGTTTGAATACGGTTGTGAAAATAATGTAAACAACTGAAGAAGGTGTGGCTGCTGGTGGCTATCAAAACAAAGTCAGCATATTTGAACTACACTCGCCCCAACCCTTCTCTCATAAAAACCCAGTGTTAATTACTTAAGTATGAATTATTTAGTATTTTAATGACTCAATGAAATATAAATGGTCCGGATCAATAGGGCGCTCCATCAGAGCAGCCTGGGGACTCCCCATGGGGAGGGGGATAGGACCAGGGAAGGGCTCCTATTCTCCAGGCCAGACCACATAGTGACACTGGGGTTGGACCACAGACACTGACCCAAAGCAGTATGCTGCATCAGCGCTATCCTCACAGCACCCAGGAGAGATGCATTAGCCTAGCCATCCACTGGTGCATGGTTAACCTTCTGACCAGCAGCCACATTTATCAAAGGTGCATAAGCACCAAAAAGACCATCATTGCATGTGGTGCTTTTCCGCAAAGGTTGGTGTTTATCCAATTTTAACTTGACAGGAAAGTGTGCATATCTCCACGCAAATTCTAGACCATGTGTACGCACACCCTCTAGTGGTTGAAGAATTGTATTACAAGCAAACATTGTTCTTTTGGGGGACATTTAGGTGTTTGAGGAAACATAAATTATAAAAATGGTAGGCTAATGATGAAACAGATGTTTTTGCCGTTGGTAAGGAGCTCGCATAGCAGCAATGGGTTTGTTTGACTTTTATTATATGGGCCTAAATCATAATCATATTTTCTGACATGACTGTTTTATTCCCGTTACACAACAAATATTTGGCTACCATTTATCCATCATCATTCAATAGCCAAGCATGCTCGAAAGTAAATTCACCGGTAGCCTAGACTGTATAGTAGGTTGCAATATTTCTGTGACTGAGATAGGAGCGCGACATCATAGCCTATTTAATCTCAGAGCCTATACCAAGATAGGAGATAGAAACACAATCATCTATTGACAAACTAAATATTGAACAACCATTAGTATTTTGCATAGTGTGAGCTGTAGCATTTACTTTTAAAATGTTTGAAAAGCCAATCAATCATGCAGAATACGCAGCCAGTGTTTGCCACTCGCTATAGGCGATTAGGCGGCATGCATTATTTGTTTGAAAAAGTCACTGCAAAAGATTAAAACATTCTGCCCACACCTCTATTGCACTTTCCAACATTTCCAAATCATACAGCAAATGAGTTTTTTTTTATTTCCATAAAATGTGAATGAATGGAGGGCGTTTTCCAGGCGGGGTTGTAGCGCTCATTCACCAGCACCCAAATATAATATGGATCTGATTTATCAATGAAACATGCGTATGTTGCGTGCGACAGTTTGATAAATCCCAATCATTTGTGGCGCACACAAATCCTAGAATTTCCTCCTATGCCATAATTTAGTAAGAAATGTACGCACGGTTGATCAATTAGGTCCCTGGAGTTTGTACTGGTAATGTGAGCTGGTCAGGGAAAACGCTAAACCCCAGCCATTTAGTCTCAGTGGTGTGTGTGTGCATACAGTATGACGTGATGTTCAATCAAAGCATTGGTAGACATTGTTTTATAGACATTTGCGCCATCTAGTGGTATATTACCTGACATGCATGTTGTTTTTGTAGACAGAGAAGCTTTCCGTTTCTGATTCCAGTTCAAACCTAGACGAATACATCAGATAATTATTTTTTTTAAATTAGTCACAACAGAGAAAAAAAAAGTACAAAACAAACAGTTCACAAGATAATAATAATTTGTTCTTAATTGACCTGCCTGGTACAAATAAAATAAATCCACCACAGTATGTCAATGTTTTGCCTCTAAACAAACAGAAACTACTCTGTCACTGTGGTTCAAGCGTAAACAGACAGCTGTACTTTGGAGTATGTGAGAGTGTGTCCATAGTGTGTGTTTCTCTGCATTGGGCATTGTGATACCAGAGTATCAGATCAGACAGGGATGGCAAAAGTTGACCTATTTCTCCTCTTAAGTGTGATGCTGCTAGACTGCCGGCTGGGCTGGGGAGGTAAGTCCTACTCTGACTGCTGATGGTTTCAGTAGGTTTCTCACTAGTAACAAGCTGACTCTCAGTTATACACCAGCCGTAACTGTAAAAAACAGCCTTACCATCTCCCTCTGGCCTTCCAGCCCCAGTGTTCCTGTCGGGCCAGGCAGCAGACAGCGTGCTGAGGAGACAGAGGCGCCACAACACAGGGATGTTCGAAGAGATGTTATGGGGGAACCTGGAGAGAGAGTGTCTGGAGGAGAGGTGTGACCTGGAGGAGGCCAGGGAGACCTTTGAGAATGAAGAGAAGACAGTGAGTGTGTGTGGATGTGTGAGGACGTGTGTGTGTGGTGGGGTTAGACTCCACCTTGAATACAGTATTGTGTAATGAATGGGTTAACTTATGATATTCTGAAGATTCTGTATTTATTTTTCAGATGGAGTTTTGGGTCGGTTATGAAGGTAAGGCTTTGCTTAATGATTAACTGCCAACTGTGTTGGCACAGACAGAGAGGATTAAGCTGTGACTCAGAGCTGTGTGTGGTGTGTACTGTGTAGGTTTCAAACTGTAGTGTTTAGCAGTATGAAACTTAGTGTAACGTCAATTGTGTCAATAATTCTCCATTATGTCTCAGATGGGGACCAGTGTAAGTCATCCCCCTGTCTGAATCAGGGCTCCTGTAAAGACCAGAAGGCCTCCTATACCTGCAGCTGTCTACGAGGCTTCACTGGGACGAACTGTGAGATAGGTACAGTAATAACATTGTAATGGCCTTGACAAATGTCCTCCATTTCACTCGGTTCGGGCCAGGTTTGTCCAGCTCATACCAGTTGAGGACGGTCTATGCAATCTCTGCCTGGACGTCACTCCTAAAACATTACAATAACACGGTTGTAAAACCACATGTTGGCCATGACAATCGAAACCATACTTACTTATTCTATTTGTTATATTATGTAACATTATTTAACATGCCTCATCTCTTTAGACGTGGGTTGATGATGCAGGTTTCTCCCCACAGTAACAGCCAGGCAGTGTGAGATAAATAATGGAGAATGTATGCACTTCTGTGAGAGCCTGGGCATCTTTGGGGCAGAGTGTAGCTGTGCAGAGGGCTACAAGCTGGCACAGGATGGAGTCAACTGCAAACCTGAAGGTAACCACAACATTCACACGTCTTGTCATACATTTACCATAATCTTACTAAAGTACTGTGTAGCAACACGTTAATACAGTAGTGTGATTACAACGTTACTATATTGGTGTAGAGTAACTTGATGTATAACTTGATGTAGTGTTACCATCAGTCCTCCTTACTTTGGATCTGTATGTCGCCAGTGGCGTTCCCTTGTGGCAGAGACAGGCGGACTGTGATCGCAGAAATGTCTAGGAGATCATTACTGGCCCTGCAGAATACAACATCAGATGCCAACGTCACTACAACCCCCTCCCTCACCCCAGCCCCAGTCAATACCACCACAGCCCCTCCTCCCAGAACCACAGCCTCTAGAATAGCCCCGTCTCGCATCAGGCGGCCCCTCAGGGTGTATGGTCCTCAGCACACCAGGCTCCCCGTCGAAGAAAACAACTCCAGAACACGTATTGTAGGTGGCAACACAGTCACCCCTGGAGACATCCCATGGCAGGTAAGAGATGAGAAGATACCTTGATGCACTATGCACGGGTATGTGTATGTTTAAGTGTCTTTGGGTCTTTGGAAAGAGCTATATACAATCCATATATTATTATTACCATGTAAAGGCCGATGTATGTAACGGGCCCTCCTTGCTCTCTACTCCCCCAGGCAGCTCTGGTGCAGAGGCCCAGTGGTCAGGTGTTCTGTGGGGGCTCTATCCTCAGTCAGCTGTGGGTCATCACTGCTGCCCACTGTCTGGTGGAGGGACAGCAGGGATCCTTTTTCGTCAGAGTGGGTAAGGCACAATTCCGCGTTGTTTTTTTTTTAGCTCAACTACAGTACGTTTTCACTACTTTACACAGGACCGGGTTTCTAAGTGTATGGTGTGTATCTATTTCATTGTATCTATGACTAAAACTACATTCTCTACTAGGATGATTAATATTGATTGATTACTAGATTGCTTAATTTATTGAGTTATTGTACCTCTCCAGGGGAGCATAACATCTATGCCATAGAGGGCATGGAGCAGGACCACGAGGTGTCGAAGCAGTACAAACATCCGCTCTATGACTCCCAGCAGAGTCTGTACAACCACGATATCGCCCTGCTGCGCCTCCACACCCCCATCACCTTCTCCTCCCACACCAGACCCATCTGCCTGGGGCCCAAGGTCTTCACCGAGGACCTGGTGAAGGATCAGTCCCCGGCTACGGTCAGCGGCTGGGGTCGCACACGCTTCCAGGGGGCCACGTCTCACACATTACAGAAGGTAGAGGTGCCATTTACAGAGAGGACACAGTGTAAGGAGAGCAGTAGTGCCCGTATCACCAAGTATATGTTCTGTGCCGGCTATGCTCACGTGGCCAAAGACTCGTGCCAGGGGGACAGCGGGGGTCCCCATACCAACCGTTACCATGACACCTGGTTCCTGACAGGGATAGTGAGCTGGGGGGAGGAGTGTGCCAAGGATGGGAAGTATGGGGTGTACACCAGATTGTCGCATTACTATAGATGGATACGTCAAGTCATGTTAATGACCAAGCGCATGCTGCATGACGTCCTGGATGACTAAACCCTGACCTTTGACCCTTAGGGCCCACGCTGGCCTGTTTTGTTCCAGGTCTTATGGGGGTTCAATCAAAAGATGTGTCCATTTGGTATTCAAAGAGAGAGCTTCATCTTGCAGCTTCTTACATCCATCTGCTGGTGAAGATACACTTTACATGATAGAGACCTGTATGGCGAACAGATGCCTATGCCTACTGAACATATATTATACTTATTCAGAAAACCAAAGCTATAATTTACTGGCAAATGGCTGTATGCAAGCAACTAACACTGCTTTATGGTATTCTACTATAGAAAAAAACAAACTCTAAGGCGTAGAACAAACCTGTATTATTTCAATAAATACTTTATTTGTTCTATATACAATACTGAAGCTGTATAAAAAAGCAGCCAATCAACAACAATGACTGTAGAGCAATAATACAAACCTGAAACCTGCCATGTTCAGTCATTATTCAGTTAGCCATGCTATTTTCTCCTATGAGAAACACTTAGCAACCAGCTTACAGCGCTTGTCAAAGACACACAGCATTTTCAAGCATATTTTTGTCTCTATTTTTGAACATCACAATTCAGTGCAAAATGTGCAGCATTTTGGATCAGAGGAGCCCCCCAAAAAAGAAAACCCAGCTAATTCTGCCATATGAGGAGGAGAGAAACCTATTGATGCAATGCGTGGCAGTAAAGCAGGACTCCATTAAGGGTATATAGATATCATTTCACGGGGCTGCATAGCTGCCTACTGCCGCAAAGTAACAACTTGATAGCAAAATAAATGAATTAATAAGAAGACATTAGTAGTGTGGAGCTGCGCTCCCGCTGCTTTCCAGGCTCATTTCCACATCAAACGCAGCATATCAAAGGCAGGCCTCCGACTGGGCCTTGATTTGATATAGTCAATTCATATAAATCCGCAATCAATATTTAATTAAGCGTTCGACACAGTGGGTACATTTCATGTTTGCTGTATGATCCTGTTTAATGGGAAGCCTAAGATTAATTGCAACGGCGATGGAGGAGAGGAGTAGAGGAAGAGAGAGATTGCCATATCCCCCCCCCCCCCCCTTCTCTCTCTCTCTCTCTCTCTCTCTCTCTTGATCTTTCTCTCTCTCGCTCCATTTGTGCTGTCACAGGCAGAGGCCTGCTCACACCGGGGAGAGAGAGGGTGAAATCCTGGGGAGAATGACAGCAGTCTTTGCTGGCGCCATGCTGGTAGCGGCTCCTCCCCATACCTCTATAGACCTGAGGAATACCCTTCTATCAATCACCACCACCTCACAAGATGTCGGAATTTACCATCCGTGACATCTTAACAACTTTATTCATACTGGGGCGGGTTGTCTCCTCCCCATTGAAATACACTGAGTTTAGGAAGTAAAATGGAAAAATAATCATAGGTAGGAATCAGGAAAATATGAATGAGGTATTGCGTTCGTGGAGAGCTCAATTTCTCTAGAGCCTTTTAAAATATAGTAAAGCTTTCAGCTTGCATTTCTCTTATAAGCCTTCCACCTTAATAAAGTGCCCGTTGCGTATTGGTCTGAGGTGAGGTAGAAGCAAGACTGCGTTTGATATTGCGGGGCAAACAGTACATTTATCAAAGAGGATATCGATTCCAAAATAGCAGGAATAAAAAGGCATTATGGCACGGCACGTTTTGGCATTTCAACTCTTGGAGAGCGTAAGAGAAGAGTGCCTTAAGGAACAAGACGGGTTGGATACCTAAACAACATGAGCATGTAGACTAAACGAACATGTCAACAAACAATAGACCGACATTCAAGTATACACGTCAAAAATGAATTACATAGCTATGTACAAAAGTCTCTTTTTAAGAAATGTTTCAGGCGAAAACCTGGATTATTATGACGCATAAGAACACACATAAACATACAAACAAACACCAACTGCATTCCCACTGATTAGCAATAATGGTTAACAATCCCTCAGAGAGCTAGAGTCCATGGATGTAATCCAGCTACAGCAACCCAACAGAAAAGGCCATTGGCTGGGTCTAAGAGGAAGTGGGGGATTTAACTTTAAGTCCCAAACCTTTTCAGATGTCCCTTGTCCTTCACCAAACCTTTGTGCTGGTAGAACCCTGTGATGTCTAAAGTGTTTGGAGGGTAACATTCATAAAGTGTGTCCACTGTCCATCATGGTGGGCAAAAGCAGGTCCTCATGTTACTGGCCCAGAAAAATGTCAATCAATAATCCAGACTTAAAACTCCTGTCTTTGAGGAAGCAGATTTTAAGATATTCCATTTGTCATGACCTCACAGTGTCTATTGGAAAACAGTCCGTCTTGTCAGTCTTTGCAAAGATCCAACAAATGCTCCTCCGAAGTGGGAAATAAGAGGTATCGACTAACCACTTTCCCAGTTCCCGCGAAGCACTTGAAGGCAGCATTTGTCCTCTAAGGGGAGCTGAGCTTTCTGGCCTTCAGATTCCCTGGATCTGCATAAAAGATAGGAGACACAAATGATTCATACAAACCCATCTAATGAGCTACATATCAGAGAGGAGGATCGAGAGTACAAATGGCTTTAGAAACCTCTTACTCTGTACTGTAACAGTAACCTTACCTCCTAGTCTGGTGGACTGTCCTCTACTGCTGTTTCCCAGAATCACGTGCAGGTTGGATACTGGGATGATGCCCTCCTGCCTGCGACTCAGGTTCTTCACCAGCCTGGAGATGGAGTGAGAGAGGGAGGGAGGCTTTAGAGGAGTTAAAGGCCCAGTGCAGTCAAAAACGTAATTCCCCTGTGTTTTATATTTTCTTCCACACTATGCGGTTGGAATAATACTGTGAAATTGTGAAAAGGATGATAAGGCCTTTTTAGTGTAAGAGCTGTTTGAAAAGACTGCATGAAATTTCAACCTGTTTTGGTGGAATGGAGTTTTGGCCTGCCTGGTGACATAATAATAATAATAATATGCCATTTAGCAGACGCTTTTATCCAAAGCGACTTACAGTCATGTGCGCATACATTTTTACGTATGGGTGGTACCGGGGATCGAACCCACTACCCTGGCGTTACAAGCGCGCCATGCTCTACCAATTGAGCTACAGAGGACCACGACGTCACCAGGTGGTCAATTAGTTAATAGACCAATAAGAAAGAGAGTTCCAAACCTCTCTGCCAATAACAGCTAGGTTTCAGTTTTCCCCTTCCCACTCAGACCACTCCCAGACAGTCCTAGCAAAATTATTGCTTGAGAAATTGCTCATTGCTAAGAAGCAAAAGTATTTCTTTGACCATTTTAATTGAAAACAATCACAGTACTTACTTATTTAATATTGAGGTAAAAACGGCTGCATTGGACCATTAATGTGAAGGACGGGACACACCATAATGAAATTGGCGCAGCGGTGTGCAGTAGATCACCTGCCGGGTGTTGACGAACAGTGGCGATTCAACATGTAGAATTATCAAGAAAATAAAATGGCGGCCGATAGGACAGCCACACACTGCTTTTAACTGTTAGTCTGCGCTGTCTGTTTTGTCGTTAAGTCTTTACACCTGCTATATTAGGCTCCAGTCAGCCCAGAGCCCATGTCAAATAGGGTTCTGCCATTGGCAACCAACTTTACCACCAGACAAATGACACTGTCGACACTCACCAGTGGCCTTCGCTGTCCTCGTGCTGCAGCTGGATGACATCACCGCTCTTGATGGTGAGGTCATATGGGCTGTATCGTGGACATTCAGCCAAGGCCTTATATCTGCCTGGAGCCTGGGAGGACAGAAATGTAATATGCTCTAGTAGAAGTCATTCTATCTACACTTGTAGAACTGTAGCCTACTAGAGTATGCCTTTAAACATGTAGTGTATGCTTTAAACATAGGGAGCCTCAAGAGGTTCCTTTAGCCTTTCTGATAAGCATATCTAAGGTCCTGGGTAAGGGCCAAGGCCACATAGTGTGTTAGTGTATAATAAGTATGAGTGGTTGTGTTGATGTTGTAGAGAACCTGTCTCACCAGCTGAGCAGCGTCTTCCTCCTCGGTGTCTGACGGGTGAGAGGGGTCCTGACCTCCATCCCACTCCTCCAGACCCTCACTGATGTCTACTGAGTGAGGTGTGCCGGGCCAGCCTGGAGATTACACACATTTTAGTTTTGAGTTACATTTCAAATCAAAATCAAATCAAATCAAATTTTATTGGTCACATGCGCCGAATACAACAGGTGCAGACATTACAGTGAAATGCTTACTTACAGCCCTTAACCAACAGTGCATTTATTTTAAACAAAAAAAGTAAGAGTAAAACAACAACAAAAAAAGTGTTGAGAAAAAAAAGAGCAGAAGTAAAATAAAGTGACAGTAGGGAGGCTATATATACAGTAAAATAAAGTGACAGTAGGGAGGCTATATATACAGGGGGGTACCGTTGCAGAGTCAATGTGCGGGGGCACCGGCTAGTTGAGGTAGTTGAGGTAATATGTACGCTTTGGCTTGTCTCTCCTTATATAGTGCCCTAATGAAGTACCAGAAATACCTGAAGTGAATACTTAGTAACTATAGCGATAAATAGCAATAAAAAATTGAGTAATTAACAAGAAGGTACAATCAAATGATAATCTCAGTGCCTTTCTTCTAGGAATAGGGAAAAAAATCCATACGATAGAGTATCGCAATATATTTTTTTCTGATTTTATATCAAAACAGTGACTCCCAAGTATCGATTTGTAATGTTAGTTAGCGCTAGTCGGATGTACCAGCGATAAAACTCTGGGATTTATCATCCTATAGGTCTTCTTTCTAAATGTTTTAATTGGTGAGCAAACTTGTTTTGAGAACTTTTACCTCCAAAACAAATTTTCTCATGGCTTTCTGCTGCAGACATATAGTGAGTAATATGTTTGGAATATCGAATCACAATAAAATCAGAGTATCGAATCGCAATACATATAGAATCGTGATACATATAGAATCGCAATACATATCGTATCGGCACCTAAGTATCATGATAATATTGTATCGTGAGGTCCCTGACAAATCCCAGCCCTACTTTTTTCCCAGAGCTCCTCCATGCTCCTTCATGTGAAACACCAGAATCTTTAGGGACCCGGGATTGCAAATGTATTAATAACCACATAAATCAAACGTCAATTCAGAGGAGTTTCATGTGCCATCTCTCATGAGCCAATAACCATTGTTGACCCAATCACCATAATTACAAATAGTTACCACTATTTACATTATTATGTTATGGGTATAGAAGGGTGGGTTGTTTAGCAACAAAAGCGATGCGTGCGCAACTTTGGGGCAAAACGACTGTCAACTCAAAAGGATTATTGACCACATATTAACTATATTACATCTCCAAATGTTTATTGAAAACAAACATACATTTCCACAATAACCACTTGTTGTCTATCAAATACACGGTTAAGTTGTTGGTTAGCTAGCTAGCGAATTTTCGCCATATTAGCATATACGTCCCTTACAAAAAAAGATTGCAGTAAAAGTGCAGTAACTGCAGTCGACTGTGGTATTTTGGACGCAGTAATTACATAATTATACTGCACTCTAACTGCAGTTACACTGCAAAATTACTGCAGTAAAAAAACGGTGTTTATTTTGGATGCAGTATTTGCAGCATACTGCAGTTATATATACTGCACTCTGACTGCAATTTTTTTTCGTAAGGGATGAAAAGTCAAAACACCTCAAAACAAGACATGGTATCAATAACGAGATACAACTATCTGAAACAAGATATTCTTGTTGCTAGCTATCTGACCGTTCAAAATCATAACATTGCGAGGCCTTCTGCCCTCTGTCGATGCGAGTGCATCATTTTCGAGAAGTTGTCTGGCAACCAGATATGGGGTAGTGGTGTACTCACTGCGTCGGTTGCGCCGGTGTTGTGAGGAGTGGGACTGGGGATCTGGACTGCTCCTCCCTGACTCAGTGTCCTCTGAGCTGACCGACGCCCTCTGCTGTTTGCTGTGGGAGAAACAACACGATACAATCAATTAACTACCTCAGTGCTCCTCCCTAACCTCATATGGCATGCTGGTAGAAGCTGCCCTTAGCCACAGATCTACGATCAGCTTTTCCAAATTCTAACCTTTAATCATTTAGGAGGAACATCTGATCCTAGATCTGTGGTTAAGGGCAACTTCTTCAACTTCTCAAACAAATTTTACACCACCACGATGACCTTTCAGACGCCAGCCAAACGCCACACAGCGCAGCAAAACAGGGCACAGCGCATAGCAACCATGTGACCAAGTGCAACCAAGTTCACACGGAGACAAGTGCCGGCGCATGGAAAGATCTGGTCTCGATTTAACAAGATCCTGGTTCATCAATGTATTAGGTGGTCTATATTTTGGGCACGAAATAATTACTATAATTTTGTGTCATTTTAGTTTTATTCAATCTGAAAAAGCGAGCCCCATCTTAGAAGCAGTTCTGGTGCTGGAAACATGAGGAAATCAAGGTGTTTTTTGTTTTGTAGAGTTTTTTTTTGCATTCCATGCTAAATTGAAAATCCCATGCAAAGATGGGTTCAGTCATTTTGGGTACCATGTCTGAGATGGAAGGTCTGCTGGGACATTGGCCTCTCAAGACATGAAAAGTGCATCTGGCGATTTATGAGCCTAATGGAGTCTGCTATTAAAGGGGTTGCAGATGACGGTCAGTATGCAAACACAGCAGCCCTGTGGGTGATTTAGGTCCCCCAAATGGGCCATGCCGAGCCGGGCCGAGGCATGCAGAGCTGGGCTGAGTTTACCACTGAGCGTCAGGGCGGGTCAGTGGCGTTGGGGGCGGGGTCGGTTGGGGGGGCGGGGTCGGTTGGGGGGGGCGTTGCCGTGGGCTTCGAGGGTGTGGACTCCGGGAGCGCAGACACTGAAAGACATTGGAGGACAGCGAGACAAAGTCCAGCCCCGGCAGACAGCCCTTAGGAGCCCCTCCAGACGGCCGCACACCCCTGCAGGGGGGAGGGAAGGAAGGAGGGGAGGGGGGAGGAGGACAGCAACCAGACAGCATAGGAGAGAGTGGGGCCTTCACACACGTCTTCTCTTCACACACCATCACCACCTCCTCCTCCTCCTCCTCAACCTCCTACACCACCACCTCCTCCTCAACCTCCTCCTCCTTCTACACCACCATCTCCTCCTCCTACACCTCCTCCACCTCCTACACCTCCTCCTCAACCTCCTACACCACCACCTCCTCAACCTCCTACACCACCACCTCCTCCTCAACCTCCTACACCAACCTCCTCCTTCTACACCACCATCTCCTCCTCCTACACCTCCTCCTCCTCCTAACAACCTCCTCCAACCTCCTAACCCAACACCACCACCCTCCTCAACCCTCCTTACCACCACCACCAACCTCACCCTCCTGACAACCTCCACAACCTCCTAACAACACCCACCACCTCCTCCCCTACCTACACTACACCTCCCTCCTCCTCCTACCACCCTCCTCAACATCCCTCAAACCTCCTACAACCAACCACACCTCCTCCGTCCTACAAACCTCCCGCCTCCATCCTCCTCCTACACCTCCGCAACCTCCTACAAACACCACCACCTCCCTACCACTTCCTACACCTCCTACAACCTCCTCCTGCACCTCCTACCCTCCTAACAAACACCACACCCTCCTCCCCTACAAACACCTCCTACACACCTCCTCCTACACCACCACCTCCTCCTCCTACACCTCTACACCTCCCCCCTCCTCCTACACCTCCTACACCCACCTCCCTCCTCACACCTCCTACTCCTCCTACACCCACTCCTCCTCCTACACCTCCTACAACACCCTCCCTCCTCCTCCTCCTACACCTCCTCAACCCCTACCCTCCTCCTCCTCACACCAACCTCCTCAACATCTCCTCAACTCACCTCCTACACCACCACCTCCTCCTCCTACACCTCCTACACCTCCTCCTCCTCCTCCTACACCTCCTCAACCTCCTGCACCTCCTCCTCCTACACACCTCCTACACCACCTCTCCTCCTACAACCACCTCCTCACCTCCTCCTCCTCACCTCCTCAACCTCCTCAACCTCCTCCTCCTCTACCTCCTACACCACCTCCTCCTCCTACACCCTACACCCCTCCTCCTCCACACCTCCTCACCTCACCTCCTCCACTCTCCTACAACCTCCTAACACCACCTCCTCCTCCTCCTCCAACGTCCTACACACACTCACCTCCTACACCTCCTCACTACACCTCCTCCACACTCCAACCTCCTACATCCTACCACTACACCTCCTAACCTCCTACACCTATCTCTCCCTCCTCCACCCCATCCACCTCCTAAACCTCAACCTCCTAACACCTACAACACTCCTACATTCTCTTCCTCTTTATTTTACCGCTCTGATACGCTCCAACACCACTGCATAACCATCTGAACAGCCACATCTGCCTGCCCACTCAACCATCATAGGCGTCTTTCACCCACATACACTCATTCGGGATTGATTGTTCTGATACTGTTGTTGACACAATGCTCTCTGAGAGACATGAATAACTGTATCGAACAAAGTGTCAATATGCATTCCACCTTAGATAGTGCGGAGTGATGTAGTACGACCAATACCTCTATGACGGAGTATCATTTTCTGCTGGTTGTAATCTCGATCGATGAGAGCCAAAATGTAGTCCGAATAAGGATAGAACCATCTGTATGGTAGCAAAACACAATAACAAGATAGACAGAATACTTATTTCTTGTGAAGACATTTTATTTGTATCTTACAGGCATGATTTCAAAATGGCATCACAGTAACGTAACACAAATTTCACTGTAGACAGACATAACAAAACATAACATGGCATAAAGTTGCCAACAAAGAAGGCACAACAAAGAACAGAACAACACGCAGATGACGAACAAGTCAGTGGGTGGTGGTTAATGTCTAGGTTATTGTCTAGAGTCCTTGTCTGGTGAACATATGCTGGTTCTGGGTGGCATGAATAATGTAAACAGTCACTTCACAAAGCAGAGGTAGTGCTTACCTGAACTAAGTACACCTCCTCCCTGCCACTGTACCAGATCTCAAACTTCTTCACATCTCCCTTGACGTTCTCTGTAATCCCCACCGCACTCATCTGCCAGGACACACACACTGACTGTTACACACACGTACTGCCTGCACCTGGGGCCTACAAGCACACGTCATGCATCACGTCAGCCACATGTCAGCTACATGCTACACGGCTGGCCCACACACCTCTGTGTGACGGCAGGAAGCTCAGGCACTCAATAATAAATCAAGAGGAGAACATCTGGTGGTGTGACACCATCCGCCATGCCCTGCGCATATTAACACACACGCCTTGACAAACAAACCAAAACAAACATCCCACTGGGGACTGTTCCGAAAGGGAGCATGTGTCACGTGTCAGAGAGTACCGCCTTCACACACACACCTTGAGACAGTGCTTGAAGCTGTAGGAGGGGGTCTTGTCTGCACCCTCTCCATGCTCCTCCCTGCGCTTACAGAAGAGAAGGGCTCTCTCATACAGGAACAGGTGTCTCTGCATGGGCTTGAAGCGGGCTAGCTCCTTCATACGGGTGGGGCCTTTCTTATGGCTGATCCACACACTGAAGGAGCCCTGCATCAGCACCCGGCCCAGGTCAGACAACTCTCCCTGGGTGAACAATACACAGACAGGGTCAGAGACTGGCTCATTCACAGCTCAACACATAGGGACTGGTTTAGTTATGCTGAATGTAATGTTACACACACTGACAGAATTGTATAAATTGCCAATATACTGTATGCTATGATCAGATTCAACCACTTTGCTGTACAGTGTCAACGGCACAGTGCTGAAGCACCAGGAGGCCCCACCTGGTAGCCTGTGATGGCGATCTGATGCATGGAGTCATTGACTGACTTGAGGAGGTCCAGCATGGCTGCTAGCGCCCCCTGTAGCTCCGAGGTCCCCTCACAGCCTCCTGGACTGTACTTCAGTAGCTCCTAAAGCACACACACACACACACCAATCAATGTCTGGTACACATCAATATCTGGTTGAAAGTTGAAATCCCAAATTCTCCAGCTGTACTATAAAATAATAGATGTTGTGTTGCGTGTAAGATTTTCCTTATTTTGTCAGAAAACAAGGGACAAATACAGGACAGAAAATTGGTAGCAGTCCCCATTAACCAGATGGGATTTCGCTCTAGTTTAAATCTGTAATCCCTAATGTCATGCATTCAATTCATTGAAATGAATGTCCCTCTGTAGGGCTAGGTTATGTAAGAGTGCTGTTACCATTTACAGGATTTTGGGACACTGAATTATGATAAAGGTTACGCATAGTTTCATCCACTATAAATGCTGCAATAGTGGCACGGTATGCTGGGTCGAGGTGTGGGTGTATCACTAAGGTCTGACCTTCAGTAGTAGCTGGTACTTGGTAAGGCGTTGTACTGGTTTCAGCAGGTAAGAGTCCAGGCCCAGTTTGTGCTCCAGCTTCTTCTGACACTCCTGTAGAATATGTCAAGGAGAGACAAGATTGGGAAGGCTTTAATACTGTTACACCACAACAGTGAATCTATTTAAAATAATATGTAATTTTGTGTCATTAAAACAATGAATAATTCTGGTATAGTGAAAAAGTATTGCTACCAACAGAGAGCAGTAGTGGGCTGAATGACAAAAAAATAAGCTTGACCTGGAAAAAGGCACAGTCTGAGAACTGCCTCCATAGGGACTCTGAGCGATACTTATTCTGACAGTAGCACTCATACACCTGGAAATTCTCCTTCTGGAAATACACACAAACATTTCCAATGACACACCATCCATACAAGACTGTCAAACACACATATAGGTAAAGACATTGCAGTGCTAGCTGTGCCACTAGAGATCCTGGTTCGAATCCAGGCTCTGTCATAGCCGGCCGTGACCGGGAGACCCATGGGGCGGCGCACAATTGGCCCAGCGTCGTCCAGGGTAGGGGAGGGAATGGCTGGCAGGGATGTAGCTCAGTTGGTAGAGCATGGCGTTTGCAACGCCAGGGTTGTGGGTTCGCCTCCCACGGTGGGCCAGTATGAAAAATAAAAAAAATAATGTATGCACTCACTAACTGTAAGTCGCTCTGGATAAGAGCGTCTGCTAAAATGACTAAAATTTTTTTTTTAAATTGTTTCGAAACAACTGCAGACATGTACACACACACTATAGACTTTCCTCACCCGCTCCAGAAAGCAGGCCCCTACTCCCTCTGGGGTCTCCAGGCAGCCCTCCAGGTCCTGCAGGAACACCCTGTCGAAGCAAGAGGTCATGTCAGAGGTCAAAGGTCACAGACAGGTCAAGTCAATAGGTCATACCCTAATCACACACAGCAGCAACCATCACCACACAGTCAGCCTCACAGTAGGCCCCAATCCTATCCTCCTCCATAGTTAATGACTGGGGTCAACCACACAGCCATGCCACTGAGATCCCTGTGTCTGCCAGTTTCCTCTCTTGTTGGCATAATCAAATGCTTTGTATGAGCAACTCGCATTTAACACTAGTTAGAGAGGCTCTAATTGGCTTAGGGCCTCATGCAGTCATTCAATTAAGCATTCAGCCCAGCAGGGGAGCAGGCCCAGCAGGCAGGATATAGAGAATGCAGATCACAGGAGGCTGCTGAGGGGAGGACGGCTCATAATAATGGCCGTAACGGAGCAAATGGAATGGCATCAAACACATGGAAACCATATGTCTGATGTATTTGATACCATTCCACAGATTCTGCTCCAGTTATTACCACGAGCCCGTCCTCCCCAATTAAGGTGTCACCAACCTCCTGTGATGCAGAGCATGGTGTTTGCAACGCCAGGGTTGTGGGTTCGATTCCCACGGGGGGCCAGTATGAAAAATAAAAATAATGTATGCACTCACTAACTGTAAGTCGCTCTGGATAAGAGCGTCTGCTAAATGACTAAAATGTAAAATGTTTAATCTCACAGTTCATTGAGACTCCAAATGCTTATGGAAAACAACACAGGTCAATGACAGTGCGGATCCTTCCTCTAAACCACGGGGTGTGTGTGTGTCCTTGCCTGCTGTGGAAGTTGTAGATCTCAGGCATGTTTCCAAACAGGACGTCTTTCTTACTTTGCAGGATGGGGGGCAGGAGGCCTGCGAGGCCCGGGTTCTCCATCTCTGCCCTATAGCCCTACACATACACACATACATCAGTATAGAGAACTCTCTGTAGTAATCCAGTAATGGTGAAACGCTGCTGTGTATCTTCTCACCAGCAGCACTGACAGTAGCTCCTCCACATAGACTCTCTCTGTCTCGATTAGCTCCCTCATCACGTGACTGTGGAGACACAGGGCCAGAGGGCCTCATTAGTATTCTGTCTGAACATAAGGAATCAGGAAGACTACAGAGGGATTATATAGAGGATGAGCAGACAGACAGACCGTTTGAGAAGGTCTGGGCTGTCCTCTCCCTCCAGGCTGGAGAGCAGGGAGATCCTATTCTCCTGGTAGTCATGCATCACCTCGATCTGAGACAGACAGGTCACACACTGACAACCAGGCTTAACATCCTCAGATAACACAGATTAAAGAAGGAAATCCACCTCAAGCCTTTACAGTTACCGTAACGTTACCATCTTTAATGTAAACATCACAGCTGTACTGTTGCCATGGTGACATTCATAGTGAGGTGTGTGAACTGCCACAGCCTTCAAAGTCCTTTCTCCACTGTGGTAATTTACTTTCTTCAATTTCTCCACTTTTACGTCATCCTTTCCTTCATCTCACCTTTCTGGAGCCGGGGCTTTTCCGTGATGTCCTCTTCCCAGGAAGTGATAGATCGAAGGAGAACTTCAAACTGTCGACCCCTGCAAAATATTACCTCTCAGCTGAACATGATAATGATGTATGTTTCTATGTGCTTTGATCAAACACAAGCCCTGTCTGGATAACATGTTAATAATGATGATAAAACACTAGCCCTGTCTGGATAACATGTTCATAATGATGATAAAACACAAGCCCTGTCTGGATAACATGTTCATAATGATGATAAAACACTAGCCCTGTCTGGATAACATGTTCATAATGATGATAAAACACAAGCCCTGTCTGGATAACATGTTAATAATGATGATAAAACACACGACCTGTCTGGATAACATGTTCATAATGATGAAAAAACACACGACCTGTCTGGATAACATGTTAATAATGATGATAAAACACAAGCCCTGTCTGGATAACATGTTCATAATGATGATAAAACACACGACCTGTCTGGATAACATGTTAATAATGATCAAACACAAGCCCTGTCTGGATAACATGTTAATAATGATGATAAAACACACGACCTGTCTGGATAACATGTTAATAATGATGATAAAACACACGACCTGTCTGGATAACATGTTAATAATGATGATAAAACACACGACCTGTCTGGATAACATGTTCATAATGATGAAAAAACACACGACCTGTCTGGATAACATGTTAATAATGATGATAAAACACAAGCCCTGTCTGGATAACATGTTCATAATGATGAAAAAACACACGACCTGTCTGGATAACATGTTAATAATGATGATAAAACACAAGCCCTGTCTGGATAACATGTTAATAATGATGATAAAACACAAGCCCTGTCTGGATAACATGTTAATAATGATGATAAAACACAAGCCCTGTCTGGATAACATGTTCATAATGATGAAAAAACACACGACCTGTCTGGATAACATGTTAATAATGATAAAACACAAGCCCTGTCTGGATAACATGTTAATAATGATGATAAAACACAAGCCCTGTCTGGATAACATGTTAATAATGATGATCAAACACAAGCCCTGTCTGGATAACATGTTCATAATGATGATAAAACACACGACCTGTCTGGATAACATGTTAATAATGATCAAACACAAGCCCTGTCTGGATAACATGTTAATAATTATGATAAAACACACGACCTGTCTGGATAACATGTTAATGATGATAAAACACAAGCCCTGTCTGGATAACATGTTAATAATGATCAAACACAAGCCCTGTCTGGATAACATGTTAATAATGATGATAAAACACAAGCCCTGTCTGGATAACATGTTCATAATGATGAAAAAACACACGACCTGTCTGGATAACATGTTAATAATGATGATAAAACACACGACCTGTCTGGATAACATGTTAATAATGATCAAACACAAGCCCTGTCTGGATAACATGTTAATAATGATCAAACACAAGCCCTGTCTGGATAACATGTTAATAATGATGATAAAACACACGACCTGTCTGGATAACATGTTAATGATGATAAAACACAAGCCCTGTCTGGATAACATGTTAATAATGATCAAACACAAGCCCTGTCTGGATAACATGTTAATAATGATGATAAAACACTAGCCCTGTCTGGATAACATGTTAATAATGATGATAAAACACACGACCTGTCTGGATAACATGTTCATAATGATGAAAAAACACACGACCTGTCTGGATAACATGTTAATAATGATAAAACACAAGCCCTGTCTGGATAACATGTTAATAATGATAAAACACAAGCCCTGTCTGGATAACATGTTAATAATGATGATCAAACACAAGCCCTGTCTGGATAACATGTTAATAATGATGATAAAACACACAACCTGTCTGGATATATATGAAAGACTGGTCATGGCTCACATCAACAGCATAATCCCAGAAACCCTAGACCCACTCCAATTTGCATACCGCCCCAACAGATCCACAGATGATGCAATCTCTATCGCACTCCACACTGCCCTTTCCCACCTGGACAAGAGGAACACCTACGTGAGAATGCTATTCATTGACTACAGCTCAGCATTCAACACCATAGTGCCCTCTAAGCTCATCACTAAGCTAAGGATCCTGGGACTAAACACCTCCCTCTGCAACTGGATCCTGGACTTCCTGACGGGCCGCCCCCAGGTGGTAAGGGTAGGTAACAACACATCTGCCACACTGATCCTCAACACGGGGGCCCCTCAGGGGTGCGTGCTCAGTCCCCTCCTGTACTCTCTGTTCACCCATGACTGCATGGCCAGGCACGACTCCAACACCATCATTAAGTTTGCCGACGACACAACAGTGGTAGGCCTGATCACCGACAACGATGAGACAGCCTATAGGGAGGAGGTCAGAGATCTGGCCGTGTGGTGCCAGGACAACAACCTCTCCCTCAACGTGACCAAGACAAAGGAGATGATTGTGGACTACAGGAAAAAAAAGAGGACTGAGCACGCCCCCATTCTCATCGACGGGGCTGTAGTGGAACAGGTTGAGAGCTTCAAGTTCCTTGGTGTCCACATCACCAACGAACTATCAAGGTCCAAACACACCAAGACAGTCGTGAAGAGGGCACGACAAAGCCTATTCCCCCTCAGGAGACTAAAAAGATTTGGCATGGGTCCTCAGATCCTCAAAAAATTCTACAGCTGCACCATCGAGAGCATCCTGACTGGTTGCATCACCGCCTGGTATGGCAACTGCTTGGCCTCTGACCGCAAGGCACTACAGAGGGTAGTGCGTACGGCCCAGTACATCACTGGGGCAAAGCTCCCTGCCATCCAGGACCTCTATACCAGGCGGTGTCAGAGGAAGGCCCTCAAAATTGTCAAAGACTCCAGCCACCCTAGTCATAGACTGTTCTCTCTGCTACCGCACGGCAAGCGGTACCGGAGTGCCAAGTCTAGGTCCAAAAGACTTCTCAACAGCTTCTACCCCCAAGCCATAAGACTCCTGAACAGCTAATCATGGCTACCCGGAATATTTGCACTGCCCCCCCCACCCCATCCTTTTTACGCTGCTGCTACTCTGTTAAGTATTTATGCATAGTCACTTTAACTCTACCCACATGTACATATTACCTCAACTACCTCAACTAGCCGGTGCCCCCGCACATTGACTATGCAACGGTACCCCCCTGTATATATAGCCTCCCTACTGTCACTTTATTTTACTGTATATATAGCCTCCCTACTGTCACTTTATTTTACTTCTGCTCTTTTTTTTCTCAACACTTTTTTGTTGTTGTTTTATTCTTACTTTTTTTGTTTAAAATAAATGCACTGTTGGTTAAGGGCTGTAAGTAAGCATTTCACTGTAATGTCTGCACCTGTTGTATTCGGCGCATGTGACCAATAAAATTTGATTTGATTTGATTTGATTTGATTTGATAACATGTTAATAATGATCAAACACAAGCCCTGTCTGGATAACATGTTAATAATGATGAAAAAACACACGACCTGTCTGGATAACATGTTAATAATGATGATAAAACACACGACCTGTCTGGATAACATGTTAATAATGATCAAACACAAGCCCTGTCTGGATAACATGTAAATAATGATGATAAAACACACGACCTGTCTGGATAACATGTTAATAATGATGATAAAACACACGACCTGTCTGGATAACATGTTCATAATGATGAAAAAACACACGACCTGTCTGGATAACATGTTAATAATGATAAAACACAAGCCCTGTCTGGATAACATGTTAATAATGATGATAAAACACAAGCCCTGTCTGGATAACATGTTAATAATGATGATCAAACACAAGCCCTGTCTGGATAACATGTTAATAATGATGATAAAACACACGACCTGTCTGGATAACATGTTAATAATGATGATAAAACACACGACCTGTCTGGATAACATGTTAATAATGATCAAACACAAGCCCTGTCTGGATAACATGTTAATAATGATAAAACACACGACCTGTCTGGATAACATGTTAATAATGATGATAAAACACACGACCTGTCTGGGTAACATGTTAATAATGATGATAAAACACAAGCCCTGTCTGGATAACATGTTAATAATGATAAAACACAAGCCCTGTCTGGATAACATGTTAATAATGATGATAAAACACAAGCCCTGTCTGGATAACATGTTAATAATGATCAAACACAAGCCCTGTCTGGATAACATGTTAATAATGATAAAACACACGACCTGTCTGGATAACATGTTAATAATGATGATAAAACACTAGCCCTGTCTGGATAACATGTTAATAATGATGATAAAACACAAGCCCTGTCTGGATAACATGTTAATAATGATAAAACACAAGCCCTGTCTGGATAACATGTTAATAATGATGATAAAACACAAGCCCTGTCTGGATAACATGTTAATAATGATAAAACACACGACCTGTCTGGATAACATGTTAATAATGATGATAAAACACAAGCCCTGTCTGGATAACATGTTCATAATGATGATAAAACACAAGCCCTGTCTGGATAACATGTTCATAATGATGATAAAACACAAGCCCTGTCTGGATAACATGTTCATAATGATGAAAAAACACAATCCCTGTCTGGATAACATGTTAATAATGATAAAACACAAGCCCTGTCTGGATAACATGTTAATAATGATGAAAATACACACATTTACATTTTAGTCATTTAGCAGACGCTCTTATCCAGAGCGACTTACAGTTAGTGAATACATATTTTTTTTTATACTGGCCCCCCGTGGGAATCGAACCCGCAACCCTGGCGTTGCAAACGCCATGCTCTATCAACTGAGCTACATCCCTGCCGGCCATTCCCTCCCCTACCCTGGACGACGCTGGGCCAATTGTGCGCCGCCCATGAGTCTCCCGGTCGCGGCCGGCTGCGACAGAGCCTGGATTCGAACCAGGATCTCTAGTGGCACAGTTAGCACTGCGATGCAGTGCCTTAGACCACTGCGCCACACGACCTGTCTGGATAACATGTTCATAATGATGAAAAAACACACGACCTGTCTGGATAACATGTTAATAATGATAATGAATATAGTGTATGTCTCTATATGTGCTTTGATGAAGCCTCGACGATACAGCAGCTGACACTACATTACCCAATAGAGCCATCATTACAAAGAGACGTTGCTTGCGATGATATGACAATGTACAGTAGGTTTGATAGGACAACCTGGTCGCACAGGACCTATCTTTGACCCTGGGATGACTGTTGGTAATGGGTTCAGACTTTATACTTCTCTTCTGATGGACGGGCTAGTTAATCATTGGTAGTGAGCTGCATTACTGGTAAATAAGAACACATCACCCTTACCACTGCCTGGGGTAACTGACTGGATCTGTTTGATCCTCACATAGACTAAGATCAGAGCCCTCCCTGTCCATGTGTGTCTACCGCACTAATCAGAGCCAACACATTTATCTTCACCTCTCCCCTTAAACGGGTTTCCTGCTGTGTGTGAGTCAGGGTCTCTCTCTCTCCCAATAGATATGGGAGTTTATCAAAATTGGGATCTCTCTCTCTCTCTCTCACACTCTCACACACACACACACACACACACACACACACACACACACACACACACACACACACACACACACACACACACACACCTCATCATCATTAATCAGATGATGTATGGCTAGCTTTGTTCTGCCAGCCCTGGAGGCACGTGGGAGGTGAAAGGGTCTTTAATGTATATGAACCATGTACAGTATACCTCTGCCATTCAGTACCTAACTAGCATCCTGGCTAACACAGTATCCCCTAAAGACTGATTATACTGCTGGGCTAAAACAGCTAGATCGCTGACTCAGGTCAAGCACAAACACTGTGGGCTTCCTCATTACTGGAGCCTGTAGTTGGCTGCTTTGATTACTTCACTGCAGGGCTGGAGGAAGGTGTGTGAAGCCCTAGGCTGAAGACAGGGAAGACACCCAGGGGAGAGGGACGTCTGTCGGGGCAGAGTCCAGGGGAGGGCTGCCTACACAGGGCCTTGGTAAACAGCAGAGCTCTGGGTGGAGGCCTAATGGAGCTGGATGATGAAAAGTGTGCTGTAAACCTCTCTAACCCCTAGCAGTCAGCTATACAGTCTGATGCTGTTAAATCTACTGTGACAAATGCATGTCCTGAATCATCAAGTGTGTGTGTTGTGTATGTGTGTCCACTACCTCCTCTTACCATGTTTGGGGGAGAAGAGTGGGGACTTGGAGCGGGGTGGGTTCTCCGGCCGGGGGGCCACCAGTTGGATGGGACGGATGTGTTTATCAGCTAGCTTCCTCAGACAGATCTGTCTGTTGTGGATCATCTCCTGAACTGCTGTGTGCTTCTCAAATGTCTTCCCTATCTGGACCTGTGGAGGATGAAGAGAGAGAGGGGGGGGGGGGGCTTAAAGGATTTATATGGAGCCAGAACCTGCAGTGTGTTAGTGAAACAGTGTTAGTGAAACAGGCTTTTATAGTCATGTAATGTATTATGTGTATAGAACGCTTTATGATAGATTATACATAGATCGTTCATGAGAACCATTACAGAGGGCGTTTCTCTTTAAACCATGGAGCTGTTTGTGAATGAGAGACACTGGTTGGTTGGTGTTTAACCTGTATCTCTGGGGTGAGGACAGACTCAAACTCCATGGCCAGGAGGTCAGGTCCTGAGCTGAGGAGAGACGGAGCCCCCTCCAGGAATCTGTCTACGTCCTTCAGAGCAGCCTGGGCCCCCTCCTTAGACTGGAACTTTTCCACCAGCTGCTGGGCCAACAAGTAGGCCCCGTCATCACACCAACTCTGGGCCTATGGAGGGGACAAGACAATGTCATGCACACTGACCAATCATATTCGGATATACGTTAACACTTGACAGAGTATCACGGTAATCAAAAAATACATTAGCGCTTGGTTTTGTGCCAGCACTTCATCTATTCAGATCAACAGCTAAATACTGTGGGTAGTTGTGTGTGTGTGTGATAGTGTGTGTGCTCACCTGTGTGTATTAGTGTAAAAAATGTGTGTATCCTCTACCTGATCCAGACGTAGCAGCAGTTGGTAGACCTGGGAGAGATGTGTGTGTTTGGCCCTGAGAGCCTTACTGAGCGTGTCACAGCGGTGGCGTAGCTCATTGCAGCGCTGCACGATCAGGGCCATGGCGAAGTGGTGACAGGCTGCCAGCTGGTGACCGTGGAGGATGATGGTCTGAGCACGGCCCATCTCCTCCTAGCAACACCCAGGACACCACAGTCAGTTACATACAATAACATACAGGAGGTCTACACACATACAGTATCACCATTGCAAATACAATTAAATCCTAGCTACAGAAACCAATGCTGTTAACAAAAGCACGAGACCCAGAGAAGACTATCTCTGCCAACCATCATTGGTAGGTCAGGTCCTGAGGCTTAAGTATACACTAGATGCATTCCTGGTCTGTTGATCTGATGAGGGAGTGTGTCCTAGTGTTAACACTGACCTGTGCGTGGGCCTCCAGGTTGTCCAGGTCTCTGAGTGTCTTTTCTGTTTGAGCCAGCGTCTCCCCTGACAACGACACCTCTCTCTCCTGGGACGCCAGACGCTCTAGAGACAACTCCATCTGACCACAAGAGGAGAGAGAGACATTAGTTACACACATTGCACCTCCCAACTTCAAAACACCCCATCCAATATCCAATTGAACTGTACACCCTATGTGTATCGTCAAGAGTTGCCTCTCGACATAGGACAATTCATCAACAATCCATCAAATATGTAAATGATCAGTCTTACCTCCTGGAAGCTGTGTTCGTATCTGAGCAGCTGGAGGTACTGTTGCAGCTTTAGATGATGCTTCTCAAAGAAGCCGTCAAAGGCTGACTCCATGTCCCTCAGCTGGGCTAGTAGCCTAAAGACCAGCGTGAGAGAGGTTATAATACAAGGCCACTCTATAACATTTAGGCAGACAGTAGTATGATTATCCCTCTGAGGTCATATACCTCTGCACAGTCTCCCAGTCCAGCCTGACATCCCATAGTGAATCCTCCTCTCTCCCAGAGGCCTCCAGGCTAGCCAGCAGGTGACGACCCTCCTTCGATACAGACCATATCGCCTCCTGTACAAGACAGACAAGAAAAATAGCTATAAAACATCAGGGGGTAAATGTAGACTAGATGTCAGTTAGTCTGCCACTGATACGAGACTGTCACACATTATCATAGAGTCCAGTGTAAAAGGTGTGTGAAATGGAGTGCTGCCGTTATACCTTGAGTTTCCTGTACTTGTCAGTGTGGGTTGAGAGGAGGTGTACAATGGCCGTGCCCTCATCTGGCAGCTCTGTCTCTGCCAGCTCTGTGCCAAATGCCTGCAGCATCTGAGCTATGTCCTTAACGGTCACCGCAAAGCTCTCTATGGCCTGGAGGGGAGCCAGAGAGCACACAACACAGGGACGTCATCACAGCGTTTCTCAATGTATGCTCTGACATCATCACTCAGAACGATGCAGACAGACAGGCCAAGTTTGAATGTGTCACTCCACATCAGACATGTTGTAATATTAGTGTTGGGGTTCTGAGTCGCTGCATGGTTAATGGTATGTAAGTTTAAAGTATGCACTGTTCTCAGGACGATCCAGTCACTGTGGCAGTAATCCAGGGTTCCACCAAACTCTGAGGTCAGTTGGTTCTCATCAATGTATCTCAGTAGGTCTGTCACAGAGCTCAGCATCACCACCTAATATAGGAGATATAGAATCATCTGCACATTATTGACTGTGTTTAGTACTATGTGCACTTCTTCAAAGATGAGTGTGTGGTGGTGTTAGATTTGGTAAATAATCTGCCTTACTGGCATCTTGAGCATGAAGTCCTCCTGGCTGAAGCGGAAGCCCAGGTCTGTGACGGTGCGCTGGAAGAAGCTGGTGGGTCTCAGCACCAGCACCAGGTGGAGGTTCCCAGGGAAGGAGGCCTGGAGACAGGGAGGGAGAGGGACACGATCACACCCCTGGGGTTGGACAGTCAGCCCTGATCTAGAGCTTTGACAAACCCTGGACCATGTCTTTACCCAACACCAGGCCAGTCTGTTCACTATGAAAGGAAGGGACTTCTGGATGCATAGCCATCATCTGTTCACTCTGACAGGACATATTGACAGCACTAACAAGCAATCAGGCTCAGGCAGATAAAGCCTCTCAGTCTGACCCACTGTCAATTAGAGAAGGAAAGCTGGACCTATCCTGCCTATCACAGGTGTATTGAAGTTGCAGTCAATATAAAATGGCTTCACTAATCAAGAACAGACAGTAGGTATGCTGAATTATATTTAGGGATGAGGCTTTGATTGAAGTTCAGAGCGATTTCCAGCATCAGATATAATAATAATAATAATAATAATAATAATAATAATAATAATAATAATATTATCAGATATCAAGTAAAGCATTTAGGATGACAATCATATTAGCTAAATTTGAAAAATAATGATCACACCCATTTTTATTACATCTGTGGTGGTGCAGGTCTAGCCTTACTAACATATGGGTTTGGTTTAATTCAAGATGCCAGCTGTTAAAACGTAGGTGTTACAATCAGCTGTTAAAACTTGCATAGGACATCGACATAATAAAGTGGGAAATGTTGATTATTCCAAAAATAATTCTGACATGAATTTGCCTTCGCTATCTAAATCTAGCTTTAGGCTACTTCAAACATAAACATTGCCCTTCAAGCTCAACATGCTAAATATTGCAGCCGGGTTTATATTCACATAAGCAAGCTATCGTTCTCTGTCTTACTGCATCAATTGCATGACTAAGCTGAAATCAGGCTCTGCACCGCAGTGCTACGCTTAAGCTGCAGCCAGTGAGCGATGCTGCATTCCCCCTGCCCACCCAAACTTGACCACAACTCTTTTAGCACTAAATCAAACTATTTAAAAAGCGCGTTACCGGACTCCTCCGTATCCTGGGCAATCCTCGGCGCTGGTAACTCACAGCCATCGTGTTTACAGCCATTTATGCGATCATGCGATCATTCTAAACCTCGCCCGTCCCGTCGCTTACAAATCGGTGCCAAGGTAGGCTACTGGTTCCCTTTACTTGGCTGCGGGACCACAGCCGCAGCATCAACGCTGCTGCGACGAGGAGGGTGGCAGCGCTGTCTGCAATCTCATCGTTCGCCGAAGTATAGCGTCATCAGGTAATATCCACGTAACTGAGTGCTGGCCAATGCATTTTAATTCCCTTGCCACGGGACTCAAGTTTCATACGTTGAGTACAGAACATTTTCTTTGAAAACTATGTATGACCAATAATAAACAGTGTCAACGCAACTGCAGTATTTGACTGATATAGTCACGACTAGTTATTTTTAATGAACAAAAGACCGAGAGATGATACCATCACAAAACAGCAGGAACTGAGCGCTGGGCAATTCAGAACCATGGACAGCTCCCCACCCTGACGTCCAGTCTGTCTAGTGCTGAAATTCTGAACTGGATTTTTGTTTTTTGCCACAGCAGCAAATCATATGTTCCTTAGTTGGATAGGGCCAGACCTCATTGAGTATAGTTACCATACTTCCATACTAGATTACCACATGCACGAGAGTGCACGCGCACACACGACATTTTGCCAAGACTATAACTCGCTCACCGCAATTCTGGCAAGTGCTGTTTTGATTGAGGTCCAAGTATCCAGTCTTCTGTCTAAAATGATGATGAATTTTACACCTGGCTGTCGTGCTCTGCAAACACAAGCAATAAAAGTATTTGAACACATGTACTTTTCACTGAACAAATGTATACTTTTACTAGTCAAATACAGTTGAAGTCGGAAGTTTACATACACTTAGGTTGGAGTCATTAAAACTCGTTTTTCAACCACTCCACACATTTCTTGTTAACAAACTATAGTTTTGGCAAGTCGGTTAGGAACATCTACTTTGTAGTAATTTTTCCAACAATTGTTTACAGACAGATTATTTCACTTATAATTCACTGTATCACAATTCCAGTGGGTCAGAAGTTTACATACACTAAGTTGACTGTGACTTTAAACAGCTTGGAAAATTCCAGAAAATGATGTCATGGCTTTAGAAGCTTCTGATTGACATCATTTGAGTCAAGTGGAGGTGTACCTGTGGATGTATTTCAAGGCCTACCTCAGTGCCTCTTTGCTTGACATCATGGGAAAATCAACAGAAATTAGCCAAGACCTCAGAAAAAAAATTGTAGACCTCCACAAGTCTGGTTCATCCTTGGGAGCAATTTCCAAACGCCTGTAGGTACCACGTTCATCTGTACTAACAATAGTACGCAAGTATAAACACCTGAAAGGCCGCTCAGCAAGGAAGAAGCCACTGCTCCAAAACGGTTTGCAACTGCACATGGGGACAAAGATCGTACTTTTTGGAGAAATGTCCTTTGGTCTGAGGAAACAAAAATAGAACTGTTTGGCCATAATGACCGTCATTATGTTTGGAGGAAAAAGGGGGAACTTGCAAGCGGAAGAACACCATCCCAACCGTGAAGCATGGGGGTGGCAGCATCATGCTGTGGGGGTGCTTTGCTGCAGGAGGGACTGAAGCACTTCACCAAATAGATGGCATCATGAGGAAGGAAAATTATGTGGATATATTGAAGCAACATCTCAAGACATCAGTCAGGAAGTTAAAGCTTGGTCGCAAATGGGTCTTCCAAATGGACAATGACCCCAAGCATACTTCCAAAGTTGTGGCAAAATGGCTTAAGGACAACAAAGTCAAGGTTTTGGAGTGGCCATCACAAAGCCCTGACCTCAATCCTATAGAACATTTGTGGGCAGAACTGAAAAAGCGTGTGCGAGCAAGGAGGCCTACAAACCTGACTCAGTTACACCAGCTGTGTCAGGAGGAATGGGCCAAAATCCACCCAACTTATTGTGGGAAGCTTGTGGAAGGCTACCTGAAATGTTTGACCCAAGTTAAACAATTTAAAGGCAATGCTACCAAATACTAATTAAGTGTATGTAAACTTCTGACCCAGTGGGAATGTGATGAAATAAATAAAAGCTGACATAAATAATTCTCTCTACTATTATTCCGACAATTCACATTCTTAAAATAAAGTGGTGATCCTAACTGACCTAAGACAGGGAATTCTTACTAGGATTAAATGTCAGGAATTGTGAAAAACTGAGTTGAAATGTATTTGGCTAAGGTGTATGTAAACTTACGACTTCAAGGTATAGGTATAGTAGTGAAAAACTCATAATATACTAAATTCATTTGACAGCTAACTGCAGCCTAAGACAAATGATATGTCTTGGTGCAGAAAGAAAGCCTGCAGAGTGAATACATTAGATCTGTTTACAGGGATGTTCATCGACTCTGTTGACCTGTACTCAAACTCCCCTTTTGGCCCATGTCCAATGATATGATCCCTCCTCCTTAGGATATACCTGCTCTGAGCTGGCACAGAGGACATCACTAGGGCATCGAAATAGATGAGGGATAGAGAGCATCTAGTGCCATCTGTGCAAAGAATACTAACCCTGGACTAAAGCAGGAACACACTGCATTGCAGAGAAAGTTATGAGGAGAGATGAATAGTAGAAGGTAGTGTAGTATGGTGGTTCACCCACCGAGGTATGAGGGTGAGGTATGTTAAGACTTTGGCTAAAGATTCCTCTGGAATGTCACTGAAAGCAGAGTATTCTGGGAGGGTGATAATCACGCTGGAGTCCTCACCACGCCCACCTGGGAAGAAAAATGGTTTAATATGAACAATCACACTCAGCAATGTACTAACCAATTATATTATGTTCTTTGCTGACCCATCATTTAAATAGTCTATAAATGTTGGATTAACTGAGAACAGCTGTGTCAGTGTTAGTTTCAACATGTCACTACTACTTTTACATCTCGTAGACACTGCCTGAATCTATACAACCAATGTAAACACAGGTCAGAGTTTATGAACCCAAAGGACATTCCTGAGTAAAGAGCTCCCACCTGACAGGTAGGCCACCTGCTTCTCAATGTAACCATCCACCTCCTTCATACTCATAGGGACTGACACCTCTGTGGAAAGGAGGAGATGGAGAGAGAGAGAGATATTAGAATAATGGGGTTAGTGAGGCCTCTTTGAAAGTGTCAACCCATGGTTATCTTCCATAAGGATGATTATTTCGCAAACAGATTTACTGCCTCCCAGTGGTCATATGCAAAACAACATCAACGTTAAAGTGGTAAGGAAGGTTTCAGACTCTCAGCTATCTGGTTCAAGTCAGTTAATCATTCGGAGGCGGGTCTGGACCCCATCTATCCACTGTGACATCCAGGCTAGCACAGCAGGAGGCAGTCATTATACCTCTCCACGCCCTTCTCCTGTCACCAGGGGAGAGGCAGCATGGGGTCATATACTGTGTCCGGCCCGCTGTGGTGGCAGGCAGCACAGTGACCTGCTTCCCCCGCCATTACTCTCTCCTCTCATAACATTCCACATTCAACACAGTTGACAGGACTTAAACACTGCCCGTACTATACTGTACATATACAATAAAATAGTGATATGAGTGAAGCCACAGTGAAGACTGAGTTCACCTCCAGTAGCAAGCATTACATAACCCTAAAGTAGACATGTTAAAAGTAATTTATAGTCATATATAATGGTCTGCTGTTGACTAGTTTATGCAACCAATCAAGATGACGCGTAGAAAGCTAGAGAGAGAGAGAGAGATGCCGTGTAGAGAGCTAGAGAGAGAGAGAGATGGAGAGACGCCCTGTAGAGAGAGAGCGGAAGAGAGAGATGGTGCAGGGAGAGTCGTCCTGTGAGTGACGGTGTCCTTTTCCACGTTGTCGTCGGGGGTAACCGTGTCCGGCAGGGAGTCAGTGTGTGGAGCGGTAATGAGCTCCGCTGATCTCTTGTCAATATTTCATGAGTGTTACTGACACACACAGTGACATGGGCTGGGCCAAGCCAGGCTGGGCTGTCCTGGGCTGGGCCATTCACACACAGCCATGGAGTAGAGTTACTGTCAGGTACTGGTTAGTGTCAGGTTGAAAATGGATATCATGGACTGGCTGTGTAATAGTTAATGTTTCCATGGCTCGAATGTTACGGAGAGCTTGAAAAGGCCACATGCAGCAGAAAAACGAATCCATGCTTTTGCCACTTCTAGATTAGACTACTGCAATGCTCTACTCTCCGGCTACCCGGATAAAGCACTAAATAAACTTCAGTTAGTGCTAAACACAGCTGCTAGAATCTTGAATAGAACCAAAACATTTGATCATATTACTCCAGTGCTAGCCTCTCTACACTGGCTTCCTGTTAAGGCTAGGGCTGATTTCAAGGTTTTACTGCTAACCTACAAAGCATTAGTCCCATGTAGCTCAGTTGGTAGAGCATGGCGCTTGCAACGCCAGAGTTGTGGGTTCAATTCCCACGGGGGGCCAGTATGTAAATGTATGCACTCACTAACTGTAAGTCGCTCTGGATAAGAGCGTCTGCTAAATGACTAAAATGTAAATTTACATGGGCTTGCTCCTACCGATCTCTCCAATTTGGTCATGCTATACATTCCTACACGTACGCTATGGTCACAAGACGCAGGCCTCCTTATTGTTCCTAGAATTTCTAAGCAAACAGATGGAGGCAGGGCTTTCTCCTATAGAGCTCAATTTTTATGGAATGGTCTGCCTATCCATGTGAGAGACGCAGACTCGGTCTCGACCTTTAAGTCTTTACTGAAGACTCATCTCTTCAGTAGGTCCTATGATTGAGTGTAGTCTGGCCCAGGGGTGCGAAGGTGAACGGCAAGGCACGGGAGTGACGAACCGCCCTTGCCGTCTCTGCCTGGCCGGCTCCCCTCTCTCCACTGGGATTCTCTGCCTCTGACCCTATTACGGGGGCTTACTAGGGCTCTTCCATGCCGTCCCTAGGAGGGGTGCATCACATCGTGCCAGGCTTTTTTCACTATACGCGACTTGATTGGATTGAGTCACTGATGTGATCTTCCTGTCCTGTTTCGTGCCCCCTCGGGCTCGTGTGGTGGAGGAGATCTTCGTGGGCTATACTCAGCCTTGTCTCAGGGTACTAAGTTGGTGGTCTATTGATATCCCTCTAGTGGTGTGGGGGCTGTGCTTTGTCAAAGTGGGTGGGGTTATATCCTGCCTGGTTGGCCTTGTCCGGGGGTATCGTCGGAGGGGGGCACAGTGTCCCCCGACCCCCCCCCTGTCTCAGCCTCCAGTTTCTATCCTCCCTCTCTCTCTCTCGCTCCCTCCCTCCCTCCCTCTCTACTGCACCCGCTGTCTCGACCTCTGAATGCTTGGCTATGAAAAGTCAACTGACATTTACTCCTGAGGTGCTGACCTGTAGCGCCCTCTACAACCACTGATTATTATTTGACCCTGCTGGTCATCTATGAACATCTTGAAGAACAATCTGTACTCTTATAATCTCCACCCAGCACAACCAGAAGAGGACTGGCCACCCCTCAGAGCCTGGTTCCTCTCTTGGTTTCTTCCTAGGTTCCTGCCTTTCTAGGGAGTTTTCCCTAGCCACCGTGCTTCTACATCTGCATTGCTTGCTGTTTGGGGTTTTAGGCTGGGTTTCTATATAAGCGCTTTGTGACATCTGCTAATGTAAAAAGGGTTATGTAAATACATTTGATTTGATTTAATTTAATGAGAAAATTGGCTATATCTGGCAACTAGATATGATAACAGGCAATCGAAACAATACTGACAAACTGATAACAGCAAACACACTGCAGCCGCCTGTCCTGCCTTACTGCAGACAGTATAGTGCTAGATCAGAGGGAGAATGCCTGTGCTGCAGGCAGGCTGCAGTGTTTTGAATATGCGTGCTAGTCTGTGATCACAGGAAGACGCCACCACGGCCCCTCTCCGATTAGAATCAGCATTCTGTATCACTCATCACATGATGTAAACCACTCTGTCTCTGCCTGGCCTGCTAAACAAGATGTCTGCACAACACACCGGACCTCCAAATCATGCTTTCTACTTGGCAGCCACACAGCTAGGAAACAATTATCCCCGCCGACTCGATTCGTCAAAGCATCCAAGCAACAAAGCCTATTCAGGTGACTTCACTGAGTAGTGTCTGCTGCTTCGAAACTCAAATATTCTGTGTTTGTTCTGCCCTGGCGCAGAAAATTATATTTCCCATTAAGCATGGCTGGGTCCTGCGACAGACTCCCAGGCAGCCAGACAGATTAAAGGCCCAGGTTAAAGCAGGGCTGGCCATAGCAGGTGATCTGTGATAGCGTTTGTTTACTGAACAGGGAGATAGGATTCCTGGTGGATTAAAGCCGAAGTGAGGCAGCCATGTGTTTTTTGCTCAACATCAACATTAGCCAACTGGCGGAAGCTGTCTCAATTGCTTGTAATAGTCTTCCAACAAGATTCTGGTTACTTTACTACAAATGACTTCAGAAGCCTAACAGATCGTACCTTATTGCTGAAAAAAACTCAAGTTTTATGTATTTACAGTGCCTTGCAAAAGTATTCATCCCCCTTGGCGTTTTTCCTATTTTGTTGCATTACAACCTGTAATTGAAATTGATTTTTATTTGGATTTCATGTAATGGACATACACAAAATAGTCCAAATTGGTGAAGTGAAATGAAAAAACAGAAAAGTGGTGCGTGCATATGTATTCACCCCCTTTGCTATGAAGCCCCTAAATAAGATCTGGTGCAACCGATTACCTTCAGAAGTCACATAATTAGTTAAATAAAGTCCACCTGTGTGCAATCTAAGTGTCACATGATCTGTCACATGATCTCAGTGTATATACAGTTGAAGTCTGAAGTTTACATACACCTTAGCCAAATACATTTCAACTCAGTTTTTCACAATTCCTGACATTTAATCCTAGAAAATAGTCCCTGTCTTAGGTCAGTTAGGATCACCACTTTATTTTAAGAATGTAAAATGTCAGAATAATAGTAGAGAGAATGATTTATTTTAGCTTTTATTTATTTCATCACATTCCCAGTGTATCAGGAGTTTACATACACTCAATTAGTATTTGGTAGCATTGCCTTTAAATTGTTAAACTTGGGTCAAACGTTTCGGGTAGCCTTCCACAAGCTTCCAACAATAAGTTGGGTGAATTCTGGCCCATTCCTCCTGACAAAGCTGGTGTAACTGAGTCAGGTTTGTAGGCCTCCTTGCTCGCACACGCTTTTTCAGTTCTGCCCACAAATGTTCTATAGGATTGAGGTCAGGGCTTTGTGATGGCCACTCCAATACCTTGACTTTGTTGTCCTTAAGCCATTTTGCCACAACTTTGGAAGTATGCTTGGGGTCATTGTCCATTTGGAAGACCCATTTGCGACCAAGCTTTAACTTCCTGACTGATGTCTTGAGATGTTGCTTCAATATATCCACATAATTTTCCTTTCTCATGATGCCATCTATTTTGTGAAGTGCACCTTACCTTCCTGCAGCAAAGCACCCCCACAGCATGATGCTGCCACCCCCGTGCTTCACGGTTGGGATGGTGTTCTTCGGCTTGCAAGCAACTCCCTTTTTCCTCCAAACATAACGATGGTCATTACGGCCAAACAGTTCTATTGTTGTTTCATCAGACTAGAGGACATTTCTCCAAAAAGTACGATCTTTGTCCCCATGTGCAGTTTCAAACTGTAGTCTGGGTTTTTTATGGCGGTTTTGGAGCAGTGACTTCTTCCTTGCTGAGCGGCCTTTCAGGTTATGTCGATATAGGACTCGTTTTACTGTGGATATAGATACTTTTGTACCTGTTTCCTCCAGCATCTTCACAAGGTCCATTGCTGTTGTTCTGGGATTGATTTGCACTTTTCGCACCAAAGTACGTTCATCTCTAGGAGAGAGAACGCGTCTCCTTCCTGAGCGGTATGACGGCTGCGTGGTCCCATGGCATTTATACTTGCGTACTATTGTTTGTACAGATGAACGTGGTACCTTCAGGCATTTGGAAATTGCTCCCAAGGATGAACCAGACTTGTGGAGGTCTACAATTGTTTTTCGGAGGTCTTGGCTGATTTCTTTTGATTTTCCTATGATGTCAAGCAAAGAGACACTGAGTTTGAAGGTAGGCCTTGAAATACATCCACAGGTACACCTCCAATTGACTCAAATGATGTCATCAGAAGCTTCTAAAGCCATGACATCATTTTCCTGAATTTTCCAAGCTGTTTAAAGGCACAGTCAACTTAGTGTATGTAAACTTCTGACCCACTGGAATTGTGACAAAGTGAATTATAAGTGAAATAATCTGTCTGTAAACAATATTTGGAAAAATTACTTGTGTCATGCACAAAATAGATGGCCTAACCAACTTGCCAAAACTATAGTTTGTTAACAAGAAATGTGTGGAGTGGTTGAAAAACTAGTTTTAATGACTCCAACCTAAGTGTATGTAAACTTCCGACTTCAACTGTACACCTGTTCTGAAAGGCCCCAGAGTCTGCAACACCACTAAGCAAGGGGCACCACCAAGCAAGCGTTACCATGAAGACCAAGGAACTCTCCAAACAGGTCAGGGACAAAGTTGTGGAGAAGTACAGATCAGGGTTGGGTTATAAAAAAATATCAGAAACTTTGAACATCCCACGGAGCACCATTAAATCCATTATAAAAAAATGGCACCACAACAAACCTGCCAAGAGAGGGCCACCCACCAAAACTCACGGACCAGGCAAGGAGGGCTTTAATCAAAGAGGCAACAAAGAGACCAAAGATAACCCTGAAGGAGCTGCAAAGCTCCACAGCGGAGATTGGAGTATCTGTCCATAGGACCTCTTTAAGCCGTACACTCCACAGAGCTGGGCTTTACGGAAGAGTGGCCAGAAAGAAAGCCATTGCTTAAAGAAAAAAATAAGCAAACACGTTTGGTGTTCGCCAAAAGGCATGTGGGAGACTCCCCAAACATATGGAAGAAGGTACTGCCAAGAGCTGTCATTACATTTTACATTACATTTACATTTTAGTCATTTAGCAGACGCTCTTATCCAGAGCGACTTACAGTTAGAGAGTGCATACATTTACATTCTGCCCCCCCGTGGGAATCGAACCCATAACCCTGGCGTTGCAAGCGCCATGCTCTACCAACTGAGTTACACGGGGCATCAAGGCAAAGGGTTGGCTATTTGAGGAATCTCAAATATAAAATATGTTTTGATTTGTTTAACACTTTTTGGGTTACTACATTATTCAATATGTGTTATTTTCTAGTTTTGATGTCTTCACTATTATTCCACAATGTAAAAAATAGTAAAAATAAAGAAAAACCCTTGAATGAGTAGGTGTGTCCAAACTTTTGTCTGGTACTGTATATACCATTTTTATATTCATTATTCTTTCATTGAGATTTATCAGGGGGTGCTGCACCACTCCTACTTCCCAGAGTGCAGCTGTGCTCAGGGCACTCCTATGCAAAGGGATTGAGTCATTTGGGGGCAAACAGTACACATTTTGCTAGATAAGGGTGCCACTCAATTTCATTGATATCACACGACTGGCACTGCTCATGCCATGATGGCAGGCAGTGGGCCTACTGAGGAGGGCAGAAGCATATTCCTTCAGCCAACAGTCACTGTGATGTCTCATAGTGGCTACATTGTGTGGAGAGAGAGAGAGAGAGAGAGTAATATACTGCACATGGGCAAATCTCGAGACAGAAAGAGACAGGCACAGACATGCAATAATCACATACATGAAGTCCTTCACGTTCACACACACACACACACACACACACACACATTACACAAAGGGCCATGGCTCAGACTGTTCTGAGGTCAGCAGATATTTTTACCAAACAGGGCTTTCAGTGCTAATGAGTGATGGGCTTGGTAGAGGGAAAGTGTTGGAGGAAATTCCACACATCTAGACTCATGTGTCGTGATTTATTTACCTGATTTATCATTTGGGATGTTTCAAGACGCTTCTTTTGCCTAGCATCAATGTGCAGCAAAGCTAATGTGGGTGCAACATCTTTGTGATATTCTGTTGTGAACTGGGACAGATAATGAATGTGTATAGCACAACATCTGCACAGACAGACTACTTTTTCTATGAAAGACACCTCTTACCAATTGGAGTATGTTTATCAGGGATTGACAGGTTTAACTGAAGAGGTTTGTTATGGGGTCTCTAGGCTGCGTTTAGACAGGGCAGCCCAATTTAGATGATTTTTTCACTAATTGGTCTTTTGACCAATCGGATTAGCTCTGAAAAATATCTGATGTGAAAAGACCTGATGTGATTGGTCAAAAGACGAATTAGTGGAAGGAATATCAGAATTAGGATGCCTGCCTACCGAATGGCACAGCGGTCTAAGGTACTGCATCGATCCCAGACTGTGTCACAGCCGGGCGTGATCGGGAGTCCCATAGGGTGGCTCACAATTGGCCCAGCATTGTCCGGGTTAGGGGAGGGTTTGTCCAGGGGGCTTTCCTTGGCTCATCACGCTCTAGTGACTCATTGTGGCGGGCCGAGCCACATAAATTACTGTGTAGGCCAGGGGAGGACCATCCTCCTCAGTGAATTTCATAAAAATAGTGAAAGATTATTAAAGTTATCCTTTTTAGATAAAACTATATTAAATATATTCACATGTAAATAATTGATAAAAACACAGTTTTGCAATAGAGGTCTACAGTAGCCTCAGCAGCACTCTGTAGGGTAGCACCATGGTGTAGCCGGAGGACAGCTAGCTTCTGTCCTCCTCTGGGTACATTGACTTCAATACAACACCTAGGAGGCTCATGGTTCTCACCCCCTTCCAAATACTTACCCTGTAATTATGAAAACTTCCGGAGGAAGTCCTCTAACCTATCAGAGCTCTTGCAGCACGAACTGACATGCTGTCCACCCAATCGAAGGAGCAGTAAATGTATCTAGTACTGAAAGCATAAGCTACAGCTAGACAGCACTGCAGTGCATAAAATGTGGTGAGTAGTTGACTCAAAGAGAGAGAAAGATAATAGTTGAACAGTTTTGAACAAATTAATTTCTTCCAAAATTAAGGAGAAGCGATAGAGAGAGAGATATCTATACTTGGGTGTATTTTCACTTAGCTAGTGAATGCAGCTAGCTAGTTTAGCCTACTCAAACACCCGACTCAAACAGAGAGGGATGCTATGTTAGCTAGCTGGCTATGGCGATCCAACACTGGAACTCTTTCAAGTCAAGGTAAGCTTTTGGTTTTATTAATTTATTGCCACCAGGGCCTGCCGGTGTAACTGCTAAACTGCTTGCTGACTGTACACTGTACTGCATGATTGTAGAGGGTTTACTAACGCGTTAGTTCTAGTAGCTACTGTATGTTGACTATGATGTGACAACGATGTAGGTTGTGTAGCGGTTAGCGGTTATGATATGAAGGTTTGGCTTAGAAAGTTTTTTTTCGCTTGGTCACAGACAGCTGTTGTGTTGTGCACTGAAGTCCACAAGCGAAGGGAAAAGGTGAGAGGACAGCACGTAGATAGTATTATATATACAATGTGTAAAGTGATCATGCTGTTTTTATGTGGCTGCTATGAAAGTGAACTGTGTGACCAGGGGTGTATTCATTCCGTCGATTCTGTTGAAAAGGTTTCTTAAACGGAAGCAAACGGAACGAAACAGGGATGAACATACCTGAATTTGTCCAATAGAAACTCTCATTTGCAACTGTTGGACTAATGATTACACCCTAGATCAGTTAGATGCAGGCAAGAGTGTGCAAGGCGGTATTGAATGTGTCATTGTCTGTCACCTTGATTACTCAAAATTCTCTCAAACTGTGCACCTACGTTGTAAACTTTCATTCATAGGCTAGCTTGTAGCAACCTCATGATGGGTATAGGGAAAATGTTAGTATCATGTAGTAGCCTAAACCTATCGATGTTACATTGAACTGGGTGAATGGAATATGAATGACAGTCATCCAATATGCTGTTATCATCCTCCCTCATCTTAAACGGCACCAACCGCCACTGGTGTAGGCTATGTGTAGGTGAAGGTTCAAGTTCAGGATGAACTGCAGGATGCGTGATGGGGCTTCAAAATGATCCATTCTTCACATAACTCATAGGAAAGCAGTTTGTTAAACCCTGTCTGCCATGTTTCTTCACACACACAGAGGTAAATGATATTGACAGGTTAAAATACAACCAGGTGAAGGGAGGTGAAGATTTACAGGTAACTGATCTGTAGTGTGTGTGTGTAAAGCTTTTTCCATATACTGCAGTCTCTCCTCGTCCTCTTGGCAGATCCAGCCCGGCCCACAGAATTTAGCTCACATTACACACACATCATTACACTGAACAAACTCCACCTGGTAAAAATAGAACCTCCGGGGGAGGGCCTTTTCCCCAATGTCCCCGTTACCTTCACACACAGGCCAGCCTGTGGACAAGGACAACACCCTCACACAGGGGAAGTACAGGGGCACAAGTCAGTGAACAAGGGAACAACAACAAAGCAGTGCCAAAGGTCACCACACAATCCTGTTAGTCCTCTACAGAGAAGAGAATCCAATCTACTAGAGGTACAAACCACCTCTGTCCATGAGCTGTACTGTAACTGAAGTCCAACAAACTGTCACTACAGTTGGAAATGAATCAACACTGATGAGAAACTAGCCCTTTCTTCTTCATTGTATTTGTATTTCAATCCAATAGAAATGAAAGGACAGAGGAGAATGTGTAGAGGATATGGTTTCATGGGCACTGTTTATCACCTCGTCAGTCTTCTGTAGCATTTGGACCATGGTGGGGATGCAGCGCCACTCGTCTTCATCATTTAATTGTCCAATCTGCCCATCTGGCTTCTCTTACAGGATTCCTCCCCCAATAGAGGTTTGCATTTTTTTTTTTTATCACTCGACTTCAAAAAGCTGCGAGCAACCATACAGAACTGTACCTTGATAGTTTCCCTGGGTATTTTCTAATCAATTCAGTGTCACAAAATGTATAATAAAGCTATAGTTCATTCATTTCACTGAAGGAACGCTTGGTTCAGCATTTCTCCAAACACACCCAGATGTGGCATGTACTTACAAATATCTCCTCTACATATGATCGCTATGGATAAGAACGATCCCCCCAGGGTTTAAAAATAGCACATTAATCCCTGCATGGCTACATTATGACCACTGCTGGATTACAGCAGCAACCATCCCATCAACAACTCTCAATAGACCTAAAGCTACCCTATGCGTTTTAATATTGCCCATGTATTATGACGGTGTTGTCTCCATATATTGTATATTTAACAATGCATAATATTTCCCCATGTAGGCTACTATGTTATTTAAGATACAGTTATACGTCCCCGTATGCCAGTAAGGGGGCAGTACAGGAGAGGTACTCACGCTGTAGTGTGTTCTCTAGCTGAGAGCCAGCCTGCAGAAGGCTGTGGTAGCACTCCATTTCTCCCCCTGGCTCCTGCTCCTGTTCCGTCTCCTCCTGCAGTGAAGCTGGGCCCATTCCCTTCCCCCTTATCCACCTCCACAGGACTAGACAGAACACTAGCAGGCCTGGTAGTGGGTAGTGGCTGGTGTCAAGGTCTCACATCCTCCTGACTATCCTACGGTCCTATCCCCAGTCCGACTCCACTTCCAGGGGGTAGAGAGGAAGCTTCAGCCCACTTTCCCCTGTAGGTCCAGCGATCCAGTCGGGAGGCTCCCAGGGGCTGTATCCGGATCCTGAGTCACCTTGAGCCGCATAGAGCGCATCCACAGAACAACCCAGTACTGCACAGAGGAGGAAGAAGTGTGCAGTCCACACAGAAAAATCGATGGTAGGTTTTCCGGCTGCTGTGGCCAAGACAGAGTCCTGATGCAACAATGCACTTTTCCCTCACACACTCACTAATATCCTGAGTCCAGTGGGGGAGTATCCAGTTCTAAACTGCAGCCACTAACCCCTTAATGAACACCAGTCTGCCACTTCAAAACAAACACTGCACCCTCCATCTGGCGTCTCTTCCTCTTTTTCCTCTATACCCTCCCCTTATCCCACCCTCTTGCCCTCTCCCTCAGTCTGAATTTTAGTGCGTCAGCTCTGCCGCTGCTGAGGCACAGTGGATCCCATCCTGACACACTGCCAACTCCCTCCCAACTTTTAAGACTCCTCCTCCTTTCCTCTGTCTTAGTGGTCACTTTATTCCTGTAGCAGATTGTGGGCTGATTCCGCACAGCGCTGCCTGGCTGACCTATCGCATACAGCACTGCTGGGCTATCTGACACCAGTGTTAATGCTTCCTCCTACTCAATATACTGGGACACACACACAGAAACGTGTGCTACACATTTGTGTCAATAGAGCCATTGTAAACAGCACATTATTCTCCCGTCTTTGTCTAAGCCAACAAATTGTTCTGCCAATGCAAGTGCACACACATTAACACACAACGGACACATTCAAACGAAGGAACATGAATGCGTGTCATTGTACATAATGACAGAGCTTCACTCATCTCCACTCCCCCGATTACTCTGCCTACGTCTCCCCTCAACCGACCAGGACTCAGGCACACGTATCCACAGAGAGAGTAGAGTAACAGAAGGATATGCACATACATTAATACACTCACACACGGAGTGTTGGGTGGTGCTGTGGTGGCAGGTTGAGTGGCGGGCTGTGGGCCACTCGGTCAGCAGTACGTCTGAACTCTGCTGTGGAGCTCTGGCCTTCAGCAGCACAGTTGATCCAGTTAAGCCTCTCAGCCACCTCATTACCGCAGAGCATCTGCTTGGTGTGGCCAGGCGTACACACACACACACAATGTCCAAAGGCGGCTGGTGGTGACTTAATTGGGGAGGATGGGCTCATTGTAATTGCTGGAATGGAATAAACGGTATCAAATACATCAAACACGTGGTTTTCCTGAGTTTGATACCATTTCATTCACTCCATCCCAGCAATTATTATGAGCCGT